CCACACGGATTGACCCTTGCTGGAGGTATTAGAGAAGCCAAACATGCCCCACAGGGAGCGAGATGAAGCTGCTTCCCTGCAGCAGCAGCAAGTAAGGGGGGGCAGGAGGACAGAAAAATACGTGATTCATCCCCCAGGCAGACTAATTGTGCTTCTCTCCCTCCCTCCTCCTCCTCGTCTGACCCGCCCTCCTGCTTCCTCCCCCACACGGATTGCCCTTTGCTGGAGCCAGAGGCGGCAGAGAAGCCAAACATGCCCCACAGGGAGCGAGATGAGGCTGCTTCCCTGCAGCAGCAGCAAGGGGGGGCAGGAGGACAGAAAAAGACGTGATTCATCCCCCAGACAGACTGATTGTGCTTCTCTCCCACTTCTGCCTCCCCATCCCCCTCCCCTCTCTCGGCACCTTCCTCATCCTCCCCGTCTGACCCGCCCTCCTGCTTCCTCCCCCACACGGATTGACCCTTGCTGGAGGCAGCAGAGAAGCCAAACATGCCCCACAGGGAGCGAGACGAGGCTGCTTCCCTGGGCAGAGGGGAGGGAGAGGAAAGTGAGAAGGGCCGGAAGGATAGGAATGGGCTTGAGTGCGAACACCCCCTGCCCCTCGCTGGAGGCGTCAGAGAAGCCAAGCATGCTCCACAGGGAGCCGGACGAGGCTCCTTAGGGAATGACGAGATTGGGGGTGAGGGACGGGGAAGGGTCGGGGGAGAGAGGGGTGAGCGGGGGAGAAGGGCAGCGGCTGGGGGGAAGGGGGGGAGGGGCGATTTGCCTTGCTAGAGGCGGAAGAAAATCCCAAGACGTCTCACTAATCCCCTCCCCCACCCTGTTGGTCCCACTCTACCTAACGCTTGACCTTACTTCTGCGGTTCAGTAGTTTTGACAACCACCACAGTGAACCCATCTCCACCCCTGCTGCCCTTCTGCCCTCCCATATCCGACCGTGCTTCCTCTTGTGACTACTCCCCTTCCCCAGCCCAACCCCTACCACCCCCCTCAGACCTCACCTGTTGGGTTCAGCAGTCTTCACAACCACCACAGTAAACGCATCCTCGACTCTGCTACCCTCCTGCCCAGCTGCCTTCTCCAATCCCAGCCGCTGGCTCCAGTCAGTCACCCCTCTCCCCCCAGGCCCTTCCTCTCGCCCCCCTCCAAACCCTAGACCTCACCTGTTGGGTTCGGCCGTCTTCACAACCACCACAGTGAACACATCCCCGATTTTGCTGCCCTCCTGCCCTCCCGCCTTCTCCAAACCCAGCGGTTGGCTCCAGTCACCCCCAGGTGCCGCCACCACGGACCAATCAGAAGCCACTATCTGGATCACCACACCATCTGCCAATGGGGAAAGGACGGGGGGAACAGGGGGGCAGGGGGGCACAGGGGAGAAGTGGAGGAAAGGGGGGAGGGAGAGGGGGAGGAGGGGGGAGAAGGTGTGGGGGAAGGGAGGGGGAGAGACAGCAGGGAATGGGATGTAATGGAGGGGAACTGAACTGAACTGAACTGAACTGAACTGATGTGAACTGAATTTCGCCACACGTGGCAGAGCTGTGAGATGGGGGGGGAGGGACTGATTGTTGTGACGTCTCGTAAAACAACTGGGGTGCATGAGAGAGGTGCAGTGCAGAGGTGCATCAGACGCAACTGCATCAGGCCTGAGAGGGCGTCGGTGGCGGCATGCGTACCTGGAAGATTGAGAGGGAATCTGAAGAACTTTTCAGTTGAGCTGGTGACGAAAAGGAAACGCGAGGAAAAGGATGGTCATACATTACACACCTGGGATGTCATCGGCATCAGAGAGAGAGGGCATTTGAAACTTGGCCCATTTGGACGCCATGCTGGGAGGGCCTAGAGGGGCCAAGGTCACGAGGTTCTGCAGGGGAATGGAGGGAGCGGGTGACGTGTGAAAGTGTTATGCCATTGAAACAGAGAGACAGAGAGAGAATTTGAAACTTGGCCCATTTGGACGCCACGCTGTTGGGACAAGCAGGGGAGGCACGCAGAGAGGTGCTGTGATGGGTACCTCTCTGCTGGGACAAGCAGGGGAGGCACGCAGAGAGGTGCTGTGATGGGTACCTCTCTGCTGGGACAAGCAGGGGAGGCACGCAGAGAGGTGCTGTGATGGGTACTGTATCGTATCGCTTGGAGAAAGCTATGAGCAGAGCCTATGAGAAAGCTATGAGCAGAGCCTATGAGAAAGCTATGAGCAGAGCCTATGAGAAAGCTATGAGCAGAGCCTACTATGAGCAGAGCCTATGAGAAAGCTATGAGCAGAGCCTATGAGAAAGCTATGAGCAGAGCCTATGAGAAAGCTATGAGCAGAGCCTATGAGAAAGCTATGAGCAGAGCCTATGAGAAAGCTATGAGCAGAGCCTATGAGAAAGCTATGAGCAGAGCCTATGAGAAAGCTATGAGCAGAGCCTATGAGAAAGCTATGAGCAGAGCCTATGAGAAAGCAAGCTTGGAGGCTTGGAGCAGAGCGAAAGGAGGGGGAGGGGGGGAGGGGGAGAGAGAGAGGGAGAGCCTGGAACTGAATCACGAGCTGGCCACTCTATCACGGGTGCAGCGATCTGGCCACGGCTGATTTTTGAGTCGACCCAAAAGGTGATTTTTTTTATTTTTGAGTCGACTCAAAAATCACGAGCTGGCCACTCTATCACGGGTGCAGCGATCTGGCCACGGCTGGCTGGCAGGCAATACGGCTTGAAAGGGACTCAAGCAAGCAGGGGACCTTTGAGACGATTCACTCACAGCTAGCCCGTGCAGGTAGGCGAAGGAGCATGAGGAGCAGTCACGGGTTAGGGAATGTGGGAGCGAGTGTGAGATTGCGTTGCTCGAACTACAAGACTCACAACTAGTCCGTGCAGGTAGGAGAAGGAGCATGAGGGGCGGTCACAGGTAGAGAGCAAGTAAGCACGTGCCATCAAGCAAGCAAGCAGGGGACCCTGAGTTGAGACGATTCACTCACTGCTAGTCCCTGCAGGTAGGCGAAGGAGCATGAGGCGCGGTCACACGTGCGGCATGCTGGGCCCGACTGGTAGAGCGGCGAGAGCAGGGCGCCTCCAAAGTGTAAAGCCTCGAGAGGTAGACTTCCAAGGGGTAAATTACCCTGTAAAATCCGCTGCCAGTTGCCGAGGAGTAGAGCGACAGCAACTAGAAGTAGAGCCTGGAAGAAAGGCACAGATACGCCTTTCTGCCTGGTTAATGGCCTATCTGTGGCACTCTGTGGGGGGAGAGAGTGAGAAAGGGGAGGGGAGCAAGAGGTGGAGGGAAAGAGGGAGTGTTTGATGGAGGGAGTGACGGGCCGAAGGAGAGTGTGAGGGACTCGTAGAGGGAAAAAGTGGGAAACTGATAGAGACCGAAATTGGGAGACGTAAAGGGGAAAGTCGGATCGATTGAACTTCGAAATGCGTCTAAAACTTTATGAAAACACCATTAACACGCGGATTAACGTGCATTGCAGCGGATAAGTGAAAAGCATCACGCATCACCGCATGCGTGCTCGCACAAGCGTCACTGTACTGAGCACTAACAAACACGCATTCCCTTACACTCAACGGATTACTTGGCTCTCTGTCGTGGGTAGCCTATTTTTGAGGCGCCTCAAAAATAGACTAGTCACTGTACTGAGCACTAACAAACACGCATTCCCTTACACACAACGGATTACTTGGCTCTTTGTCTTGTGTTTCCGCTCCCCGCTGGTATTGCCTCGTGCCTGTGAACCGTCCTGCTTTTGAGGCGCCTCAAAAGCTGCCTGTGAACCGTACTTCAAGCTTCCAGAGGATCCAGCAGCTTCCCTGCTGAGTGTAATCGAACCTCGCTTTTCCTTAATATCTCGCTCCTCCTGAGTATCTCGCTGGCCTCTGCTGAATACTATCGTATCTGGCTTTTCCTTAATATCGAGTCTCCTTCGCTGCTTGATCGACGCGTGCTGCGTCTGGTCCATCACACGCCGATCATCAGCATCCCAACCCTAACGCCGACTGCCATGCCGCCGGTCGTTCTTGTCCCCACTATTAGCCAGCAATGTGAAGTGATAATGATGAGCAAAGAGATTGACGCGTTTAGGGGACGTGATGGAGGAAATGCGAGCAGCGACGGTACGATTGTGCTATTTAGACACAGTTGGAGCAGGCAGCAATCAGACACTGTTCTCCAAGACGAGTTTTTCGTAGGAAATGCGAGACGCCTGTATGAAATCCTAGAAGGGATAATGGCTAGGGGCTGTCTTGGGAAGAGTAGTACGGGAACCCTAGAAATGGTCTAACGCGGGGAGGTATGTTGAGGTAGCAGCACGTAGAGATTTGATCCTTCTGCGGGATAAATGAGCGCTCGGGTTCATCAGGGTGCGAGTGTCAGTGCGAAAGTGTAATGTAGAAATTGCCAAAATACTAAGAAAACCACTATTTAATGACGTCCATAACATGCTAGCAAAAAATGTACTTCTAGCATGCATTTGTCATTCTATTTCTCCTCAGCATCCTATTTTATTTCCAGGGAAAAAAACTTCAAAATACCACCCAAGAGGGTCAAATGCATAGTTTTTGTTGCAAAAACATCTCTGTGATACTTTATTACTAGCCTCTCTAGTTGAATTCAGCATGATGCCATATCCTATTTCACCATTCAACAATGCATTGAGAATTTGTTTCTTCTTTGCGAAGTTCATTGTTGTATTGATGCTCATCGTCCCGATATGTCAACCATCGGTGGTTGCGGATATTAATGCAATTGAAATTCATGCATCTTGGCAAGAAATGGATGAAATAAAAACAGTAACAGGATTAGCCATCGACAGATATAGGCTTATTGGAATGATTTAGACGTGGATGGTATTTATTTCACCATTCACTTGTTTCGGTGTTTTTGTTGAATGCTGGAGCGTTTTAAGTGTACTGACCGTGACTGAAGCGGAGTCGACACTAATCGCGCAGTGAATCTGACCCCAGCTAGCCCGCTTTCCCCATAACCTAGAAACTGTTGCAGTAACTCTCCCCTTCAGTTCTAGGGTTTGCCATCGTCAGTTCCTAGGTTCTGCAGTTTAGGCTGGCTATCCGCTCCTACTCTTCACCGTTCGCCTATCCATGTTGCGTTCGCCTAGGTGTGTCTTTGGTGAGTACTGTTTCTCAGAAACTGCGAATTTTGCTAGAAACGTTTCCGTGATCAGTTCGCATCGCAAGTAGTGTATGTCTGAGCAGATCCCTTTTTTTTTTTTTGCAGTCGGCAACATCCCTTACGATACGACCGAGGAACAGCTCCGCCAGATCTGTGAGGAGGTCGGACCCGTGGTTTCCTTTCGGTATGTGAAAGCAGGATCGTCCGATCCAATCACCGCGATCGTGCGAGATATCCGTCTGTATGGTTTCGGTGCTTCTGGTTTCCATGTTGCTTTCGGTGTCTCTCTTGCTATCATATTGTATGTAATCCTGCTGGAGTTGACTACCCTGAAAAGAAGCTCCCGTGTAAACCGAGAGCGCAAAAACTCACAAGATGTTAATGGTGAGCCACGCAGCTTGAATGGTGCGTTCAGACGACAAAAACCGTACGAACAGAGCTTCAAGGGATACAAACTACCGCCTTTTGCATTTCAGCTGGGGAACGTGTCTTGATGATCTCGACTCAGAACAATGCATATGCTCGCTCGGTATGATATTTGAGCGTTCCGAGACCCTTCCTCGTGGGTAATACTATCTCCAAACACTAATTTAAGAAGTACCCTTCTCAAGATACTGGGAAGCTGCGTTACTATTGCAGGGCAACAGCAGCATAAACACCAGAGCAGCATAAACACCAGAGCACCATAGACATCAAAGCAGCATAAACACCAACAGATCAGGGCCGGGCATGTCTCTGGCGTTGGATACTTCTCGTGCTGCTCTATCTTTCCAGCTGCCTGCCTGCCTGCCTATGTGCCTGCTTCCTGCCTGCTTAACGATCCGCCTGTATTCAGGCTGGTGACTGACAGGGAGAGCGGCAAGCCCAAGGGTACGGGTTCTGGAGGTTAGGGACGAGGAGGACGGCTTTTGAGTCGAGTCAGAAGCAGTTTCCCGCCCTGTCTGTCCGCTTGCCTGCCTACTTGCCTGCTTCCTGCCCGCTTACCTATATACCCGCCTGAATCCAGGCTGGTGACCGATAGGGAGAGCGGCAAGCCCAAGGGGTACGGTTTTTGCGAGTACAGGGACGAGGAGACAGCTCAGAGCGCGAGGAGGAACCTCAACGGCTACGACATCAACGGCCGGCAGCTCAGGGTCGACTTCGCTGACAGCGACAAGAGCGGCCAAGGGGTAAGTAGCAACGGCTTCTAAGTCGGCTTGAAAGCAATGGCTACAACATCAACGGGTGCCAGCCATCGACTTAGCTGACAGCGACAAGAGTGGCGGGGCCAAGGGGTAATGTGGCTCCGTTTATGCATTTGTGTAGAGGAAAGGGCAACCGCTGCAGCGTTAACTGGCGCCACTTAGCCAGAAAGTGACAAGAGCGGCCAAGCGGCACTGTTCCTTGCTCTATTTATCCCTCCAGAGAGCCAGCCACCTTCTCTTTGACATACCCTGTATCCTGCCTGGGCTTCTGGATGGATGTTGTGGGCAGGGTAAAGGAGGACCTAGCGGTCCAGGCTCTCAAGGCTACGGTGAGATCTTCATTTCTAACTTGGACTGTGGGCCCGTGGCGCGTGGGGTAGTCTTGATTGCTGACGTTCTTTAGGTTGGATGGACCATGGAGGACTGGTGTTGTCTCGTGTGACAATATCCGTAGGTGATTTTCGAGTCGACTCAAAAATCACCTAGGTTGGATGGACCATGGAGGACTGGTGTTGTCTTGATTCCAACCTGTGTCAAGACGTGGTTGTTAGGTTGGTTGGTTGCTGATCTTGGCTTCTCTTGCTCATCCGTTCCGATGTCTCCTTGCATCTGGAGCGTCTAGAATCCTCTTTTGAGAATTCGTAGATAATACCTGCAACTCCCATGTCTCCTTTGTGTGTGTGTGTGTGTGTGTGTGTGTGTGTGTGTGTGTGCCGTCCAGGGTCATCTCAACCACAGCAACAGCAGCAGTTTCAGGGATACGACAGCGACCCTGCCAAATCTCAATCGCAGCACCACCCGGGCCGGCACCCCTACCAGCAGCAGCAGCAGCAGCAGCACCGCCGCTCTCCCCAACCAGACCCTTCCCTATCCCAGCAGTTCCCGCCTGGGCCCTCTTTAGAGTCACTCACCCAGCCGATCGGGTTCTCTGCAGCGGTAGACGCAGCTTTCTTTGTGGCACACGCGCTCGGAGCGCCGCCACCAGCTGTAACGAGGAAGGGAGATATGGCCATGCAGGGTGGTGGTGGGGATGGTGCTGCTGCTGCTGGTGCGGATTCAGCAGATCCGCTGACCAATCAGCTGGCAGGGATGTCGAAGCAGCAGCTATATGACCTGTTAGCGCAGATGAAGGTAGGATTTGTTTGCATGCATGCTCTGTGGTGGGTGGATGTTTGATGTAAAGGTATGATATCTATGCTACTTGGGATATTAAGTGTGGTGTTGGTACCAATGTCCAAGCAGCAGCTATATGACTAGCCAGTGCCGGTGAAGGTTTGCTGTCTATTTTGAAATCGGGTGCTCTGTCTCATGCTATTTCATCTCACCATTCCCTCTTTCCCTTTCCTTCTCCCCCTTTCCTCTCTGTTCCCCCACCCTCCACCCTCCAGGTGTTGATTCAGACCAACCGATTTTTGAGGCGCCTCAAAAATAGACTCCTCTTTCTCTTTCCTTGTCCCCCCTTCCCCCCTTCCTCCCTGCCCTCCCACCCCCCACCCTCCTCCCTCCAGGTGTTGATTCAGACCAACCGGTCTCAAGCACGAGCCATTCTGGTTGAGAACCCTCAGCTGGCGAAAGGCCTCTTCCAGGCGAGTCTCAACTATGAACATACACGGAGGCTCTTATGAGTCGACTCAAATGTGTTGTGTCGTGTTACATTGAAACGACTCAAAAGGTGACTTTTGATGGCTTTTGACTCGACTCAAAAGTCACCTCAACTATGAACATGCATGGAGGCTATTAGCACTTCCATTTTTGATGCCTTGTGGTACCAGAGGACCACTAGTTGCGCTGAACATCGAGCGCTTACTTGTGGGCTGGCGGCTTGTCCATCCTCCTTCCCCCCCATCTCGAATTTCTCGTTTTTCTTCTGCGATCATCTTCCGCTTGTCCATCCTCAACCCTCCCACCCCCTCATGCTGACAGGCCCAAGTTATGCTGGGGATGGTCAAGGCAACTAGTGCTGTGAGTGTAACTGGGTGCTGGGGTCTCTGCAGTGCAGCCTAAGGGTTCTTGTGTATTTCCCGTCGATTCACGAAACACCCGCGTGCAACGGGGTTGTGGGGTTCTTGCAAACTAAGGGTACTGCACGAGTTTCTAGCTATAATTTCCTGTTATGTCATAATTTCCTGTTATATCATCATTTCCTGTTATATCGTAGTTTCCTGTCCATTGCTCCTGTGCTGGCTCTCTATGCTTGCAGTCAGCACCAGAACCAGGACCACAACCACCAGCCGCCTCATCTCAACAGGTACGTTGTCTCCAAGGAAACGCTCGACCTTTCTGCCTCTCCCGGCTCGACTCCTCTTTCCCCTCGCCCTCTCAGGTACGTCCTATTCCCCCATCTCCCCCATACACACATGCACTTCCTGTGCTGCAGCCAGCACCAAAGCGAGGGCCACACCCACTAGCCCTTTGAACAGCCCCCGTCCCCTCACCATTGTGCCCCGCCCCACCATGTGCCCAAGGTTTAGCTACTAATTTCCTCTCTCCTCGCCTCTCCTCCGCTTCCTCTGCTTTCCTCCTCACTTCTCCCTTCCCATCCCCTTACCTCCCCTCCCCTCCCCTCCCCTCTCCCCCCATTCAGCGGCCTCAGGGGGGTCCGCCTCTTCCCCAAGGCCCCCCTCCGCCCCACCATGGTCGGCAGGAGATGAGGGGAAGGGGAGGGGGGTATGGTCGCCCACACGCCTATCAGGTGAGTGAAAAGAGGTGCACGTGTTCACGTAAAGAGTTTCATAGGTTATTCATTGATGTTGATGAATTGAATAGTCTATGAATAGTCTGTCGAATAGTTTTTATGAATAGTCTGTGGAATAGTATATGAATAGTCTGTGGAATAGTCAACAAATAGTCTGTTGAATATTCTATGAACATAGTCTAGGTACAGTTTATGAATCGTCCATGAAACGAATGAGGAAGTCTATGAGCCACGTCGTGCTGCTCCCAGAACTGGTCATGGCTTATCATCCCCTACTCAATTCCTCAATTCCTTGTGATTGTAATTTAGTTTTAAGATGTCTCGAAATTATATCACTATTAATTGGTCAAGGGTTATCATCCCTCGTGGCTTCTCTCCTCACTTCCCTTCTGCCATTGCTTATCTTAGTGTATGTTTGTGTGTCCATGTGTATGCACGCATGTGCTTATGCATGTGCTTACGCATGTGCTTACGCATGTGCTTATGCATGTGCTGATGCATGTGTGTTCATGTACGCTTGCGAGCAGGATCAAGGCCAGCCTCCAATGGACCCCTACAGTCAGCCTCAGTTTATGGTACATGCTTCTCGCTTTCCCCATCAGCACCATCCATCCCCCACCTGCCAACCGCCTTACTCCTCTTTTGAGGCGCCTCAATTAGCCTCCAATGGACCCCTACAGTCAGCCTCAGTTCATCGTACATGCTTCTCGCTTTCCCCATAAGCACCATTCAACCTCTCTCTCCTCCTGATATACGGTTTCTTTTGAGATGTCTCAAAACACCCCTACGGTCAACCGCAGTTCATGGTAAATGCCTCTCGCTTTCCTCATAAGCGCCATTCAACATCTCTCTCCTCCTGCCAACCTCCCTCCTGTGAATCCCCCTTCCTCCTCCCCTTCCTATTGTTCTTGTTTTTGACTTTTTCCTGGAAAGGGTCTTTCAGATCTAGTGTGGCAGTGACTCCAGTGACTTTCTCATTCTTGTTTCTTATATTTTAGAGTAGAGTTGAACTCTGCCATGACACTTAGTTAAGTAAAATCCCCCCCCCCCCCCCCCCCCCTCCTTTTGCTCTTTCTTCCTCTTTCTTTCGTTTGTTCCCTTTCTTTTCCTTTTCTTTTTTCCTGCCTGCAGGATCAGGAGCCGCAGCAGCAGCATATGCCATCCCGGCCCCACTGGCAGGCAGCAGCAACAGCAACCACATCAACGCTTGAGGCACCTAAGCAAAAACTCTACATCTCTTTCCTTCTTACCTCGTTCTGCCCATGTCGGCAGGATCAGGAGCCGCAGCAGCAGCATATGCCGCCCCGACCCCACTGGCAGCAGCAGCCACTCCCCCCCACCGGTCCACCCCCCCCTCCCCCCAGACGGCCCCCTCTATCCCTCCGATGGCCCCCCACTCCCCCCCCATCCTCCCTCCGCTGCCCCAGCAGCAGCGCCTGGGGGCGGGGGGGGTTACATGGATGCCCCCTCAGGGGGGGCTTTAAGGGGAATGGCGAGGGGGGCGAGGGGAGGGGAGATGGGGGGGATGGGCGGAGGGGGGATGGGGGGTGGGGGGATGAGAGGGATGGGGGGCGGGCCTGGGTATGGGCCTGGGGGAGGGGGAGGAGGGGGGGGTGGGGGAGGTTATGGTAGGGGGGGGATGCCAGAACCACCACTGCCACCCGCTGCTGCTCCTGCTGCTCCTGAGGTGAGGCTTGATTTTGAGGTGAGGTTTGCGTTGCAGGATTTAGATTCAATGTCACTTCTGTGAGTTTCCTGTGCTTGAGGGATGCTGGAACCGCCACTGGCACCCGCTGCTGCGCATGTTGCTCCTGAGGTGAGGTGTGGATCGCGGTGAGATCGAGGTGAGGTGTGGATCGCAGTGAGGTGAGATCGAGGCGAGGTGAGGATCGCGGTGAGATCTGGGGTCAGGGGAGGTTTGGATTGGAGATGACTCGTGTTGGTTCCTGGTGCTGTTGGCCGCTTGACTACTTGGTCTCCTGCCTCCGTGTCTCTCTCCCACCTTCTCTCCCTCTTAGCCTGTTTTGGCCACACAGTAGAAGGCTCTCATTACTAATGTGTTAAACAAACATCCTCTCGTCCGTCCCTCTCCCTCTCTCTGTCCCCTGTACCTCTCCTCCATCCCTCTCCCGCTCTTCCCCCCGCATCCTGTATTTAGTTTTGAGGCGCCTCAAAACTAGACCCCTCTCCCACTCTTTCCCCCGCAGCCTGTATTGGACGTGGGGCAGCAGAAGGCATTCCTGGTGCAGGTCATGTCACAAGCCTAACACTCTTCCGCTCTCATTCTTTCCTCATATTCCCCCCTTCCCCCCCCCCCCCCCCCCCCCCCTCTCTCCCCCGCAGCCTGTATTGGACGTGGAGCAACAGAAGGCGCTCCTGGCTCAAGTGATGAGCCTAACACCTGAGCAGGTGAACGCGCTCCCACCTGACCAACGTGCCCAGGTGCTGCAGCTGCAGCAGGCGCTGGGCAGGTGAAAACTCTGCAATGCATCCAGCCTCCACCTGGGCGGATGAAAACTTAGTGTTTTGGGCAGATGAGTATCGTACTGATGACAGCAGTCGCTGAGTTGAGTTGGATGCGAGCACCTGCCCTCAGGATGCTGTGCATGTTACAACAATGCTCAGTACAGGTGCTCTCTGAAAATGCAGTTCACTTCCATCCATCATAACCACATTGAGGGCACCATTAGATTGCATGTAGAGAACAAAAACACTAAATTGTTATTTTGTATGGGACCTGAGTGCAATAGGGTAATAATGCCACAGTTCCTGTCTAAATGGCAAACAATTAAGCAAATGTGTCAATTGCTGCAACCCATACCAGCTAGAAGGCAGGATCTTAGGACCATATCATGAGGTGACTTCTGAGTCGACTCAAAAGCTTACAGGCAAGAACTTAGCACCATATCATGTCACCAACCTCCGGAGCATTGTCCTCATACATCAAGAGACTTGACAGAAAACCCACCACAAAACCTCCAATATTTCGAAGATTTGGCCTCTGGACTCCAGACTCTGCTGCTAGTATTGACATTTCACTATTCACACCAACTTCACCCATCACACCAATCACCTGCTCCCTCCTGGGCCGAGCAAACAGTTCTTCTTGTTGTGATAAAATCGAAATTCTTACACTTCTGAGGTGCCTCACAAACTCGGCTTCCTCCTGGGCCCAGCAAAGAGTTGGAAAACCTAGAAACCACAAAGCGACCTGCATGCAGGCAAGACCGGGTGAACACGGATAGTGCTGCTGGCTCGCCTCCAATGTGGGCAGTGTTGCCATGTCATTCCTACCATTGCTTCTCATGCAGGTCTCTCTCACTGCCTGATGATGAGACTTTCAAGAGCAATGCTGTAAAAGAGGTGACAATAACGAGAAAGGGGTGCAATCTGTTGCCTACCATTGCTTCTCATGCAGATCCCTCTCGGTGCTGGAGTAATATCCCGCCACAAATGATTTTGAGTCAACACGCAAGAACTATGTGGCATTGCCCATGCCATGTGTTGCTCTTACCATTGCTTCTCATGCCATGCCATGCCATGCCATGCCATGCTGACCATTGCTTCTCATGCCATGCCATGCCATGCTTACCATTGCTTCTCATGCCATGCCATGCCATGCTTACCATTGCTTCTCATGCCATGCCATGCCATGCTGACCATTGCTTCTCATGCCATGCCATGCCATGCTTACCATTGCTTCTCATGCCACGCCATGCCATGCCGCATCATGTTACCATTGCTTCTCATGCAGGTCCTTCTCACTGCTGGAGTAATATCCCGCCACAAATGCTTTCCAGTCAACAAAAAAGAACCACAAAAGCTCTCGGGTCTAACACACAAGAACTATGTGGCCAGAATTGCCGTATGCCATGTGTTGCTCTCACCATTGCTTCTCATGCAGGTCCCTCTCACTGCTAGAGTAGTATCCCGCCACAAATGCACGCCCTGCAGAAGCAAGAATAGACAAACAACAAATTAAAACAAAGCAATAAATTTACTGAGCATTTCACAAGACAATCACAAGGTTGCTACATGCATGATTCCACTCACCAAATCGGCCCGCGCCCATGAAGGGTTCATTCAACTCTTCTGGCTGGTAGGTTGATGCTGCTTCTTACTCAGCAGCACAAGCTGAATGGCATGGCCCCTTCAACAACCAGACTTTTTACAAGCACACGCCTGCTACGATCACAATTCCACTCACCGAATCGGCCCGCGCCCATGAAGGGTTCGTTCAGCTCTTCAGGCTGGCAGGTTGATGCTGCTTCTTCTGCAGCCTGCGATACAGTCACATGGGGATTTAATTGGAGAGGAGCATGATCAGATCAACCAGAATAATAGCTGCAGGCTTTCCAGCAGCCTACGATACAGTCACCACATGGCCAGCAGAGAAGGGTCACAGATGTGGAAGACAATTGTATTGTAAGTGTAAGCTGACAGGAATAAAAAAGCACTAAATACTTGGTGGTGTTAGCCCTCCTCTGATGGGCATCAGCATGCAATGCAACCCACACCCGGCCGATTTTTTAGTCGACTCAAAAATCACCTCAGCATGCAATGGAACCCACACCCGGCCTTTTTATGCCCATTACTTCCATCCACACAGCCTGGCGCCACAGACAGGTACCTTTTTTCTCCAGGTACCTATGTTGGAATAAAGCCAGTACCTGGAGAAAATCCACTCACCCTCTGGTGGTCGTACTCCTCCGCAGGACACAGCATGCGATCGACACAGCGCCCGCTTATGGCACACACCAGCATCTGACTTTTGAAGTCGACTCACTAGTCACCTGGAGAAAATCCACTCACCCTCTGGTGGTCGTACTCCTCCGCAGGACTCAGCATGCGATCGACACAGCGCCCGCTTATGGCACACACCAGCATCTGGCTCTCTGCATCCTCTAGCAATTCTGCACAGTTGTCGTCACACACTGGAAACAAAATAGGCAGGGGGGTGGCAAGAAGGGAGGGGATGATGAGGATAAGACAGAGGGAGAGCACTGGGAGCATGCATGTGCTTCCTCCACCCTCTCAGAATGGTTGTTCTGCTGCCGCAACTCTCCAACCCACTCACACCTCACCCCACTCACCCCTCTCACTCACCCCTCTCACTCACCCCTCTCACTCACCCCTCTCACTCACCCCTCTCACTCACCCCTCACCCTACTCACCATGCGCCCTGCCTGTCTTCTCGCACAGAAAAACATTCCCAATGCGGTGGGGAGTGCAGTTCCTTCCGATGCACCGATGCGCCTCCTCCACCCACTCAGGCAGGTTGTTCCTCCCCATCCTGTACCTCTTCACATCCTACAATGCGCATCGGTGCATCGGTGCATCCTGGTTGTGAAGAGGTATAGGACACCTCTTCACCACTCTGCGCCCCACTCACCCCTCGCCCCACTCACCCCTCGCCCCACTCACCCCTCGCCCCACTCACCCCTCGCCCCACTCACCCCTCGCCCCACTCACCCCTCGCCCCACTCACCCCTCGCCCCACTCACCCCTCGCCCCACTCACCCCTCGCCCCACTCACCCCTCGCCCCACTCACCCCTCGCCCCACTCACCATGCGCCCTGCCTGTCTTCTCGCACAGAAAAACATTCCCAATGCGGTGGAAAGTGCAGTTTCCCCCACTGCATGTATGCGCCTCCTCCACCCGCTCAGGCAGGTTGTTCTTCTGCCGCCACTCAGCGACAGCGCGCGCCAGGTCAGAGGTGACGTGGACCAGCTCATCGTACACCTGGTCCCGCCTGGGCACCAGGTTGCGCTTGGCGGCTTGCAGCTGCGCGTAGAAGCCTCTGCAGTCCTGAGGGGAGTCCGCTACAAACTCCTTCATCTCGCCCCGGTCCCTCTGTATTAATGGGGGGTTAGAAGGGGCAAGCCAAAAGAGGGGCGAAAACGGGGAGCATGAGCAAAGAGGAGAGGAAGCCCTGCTTGTAGATGGGCGTAGAAGCCTCTGCAGTCCTGAGGGGAGTCCGCTACAAACTCCTGCATCTCGCCCCGGTCGCCCTATGGAAAGGTAATAACAGGAGAAACCAAGATGGTAACAGCTGATTTTGAGAACAACAGAGTGAGAGGTGCTATTAGTTAAAGCACACACACCCACACTCACACACACACACACACACGCACACACACACACACACACACACACACACACACACACACACACACACACACACACACACACACACACACAAAAAGCACAAAAGCAAAAGCAAAAAACCGACAATACACCGGTTCAGGAATGAGGTTGCGGAACGAGTCAGGACAGCTAGCCCACCTCGAAATAAAGGCCCTTCCAGTGGCTACGGCTGCGAGCGTGCACGCCTGCCCCTCCCACTCCCCCCCCTGCTCCTCCTACCCCTCCTCCTCCTCCTCCTCCTCCTCCTCCTCCGCCTCCCCCTTCCATGGCAGAGCGGGAGGAGGAAGGGGGAGCGGGGGGCGGGGGACCCCATCGGATGCAGTAGGCGCGGCGCCAGAGGGGCTCCTCTGAGGATGCTGTGCGGAGATAGCGGCACACGCACGCACACACTGACAGGTCCTGAAAAGGGGAGGTATATGGAGTTGGGGTATGGGGGTGGGGGGAGGGGAGAAGTGGTGGAGGAGAAAATCCTCTGACGACGACTGTGCAGAGACAGCAACACACACATGCACAGACGGATAGGTCCTTCCATACGCCTCCCAGGATTTCTGGTAGTGGACTGCCGGGCTGTCGGGCAACTGTCGAGCAGGCGACTGTCGGGCAAGCGGATGTTGAAGTGGAGGGGATATCAGTGGACGCGGAGGTCCAGGAGGTGTTTTGAGGACGACAGAGGAAGAGGCGGCGATTAAGGTACAGGCGTTCCATAGGCAGTACCCACTCGCAGTGTGTGGTGAAAAGAATTCACACTGCGGTGGAAGTGGTTCCTCTTCACAGCACACTGCGAGTTGATTCTGCCTCTGGAACTCCTGTACCCTACCCGCCGCCTCTTCCTCTGTCATCGTCAAAACACCGCCTGGACCTTCACGTCCACTAATATCCCATCCACTCCAACATCCGCTTGCCCGACAGTCGCCTACCCTAGCGGACAGGAACTTGGTAGCATCGCTCTCAATTAACCCCCCTACCCGATCCCACCCCTCCTCTCCCCCCCCGCTCTCTTACCTCAGCCGAATGGAACATTAGGACGTGGTGGTACAGCTCCGGGGGAAGCAGGCCGAAACATTCTGGTAACCATAAGATGAGTGAGGAGTCTATTTTTGAGGCGCCTCAAAAAATGAAAACTCTCCATGCAGTTACTATACTCCTCCCAGGACCCCCCCTTCCCCCCTCCCTTGCTTACCTCAGCAGACAGAAATTTGTGGACGTGGTGGTACAGCTCCCAGCTAACAGCCTTCTTCCTCTCCCACTCCTCCCCCCCCCAACTTCCTCCTCTTGCATACCTCAGCGGACAGGAACTTAAGGACGTGGTGGTACAGCTCCGGGGGAAGCAGGCCGAGACTCCCCGTGAATTGCGGGTCTCCAAATCGAAGCTCTAGTGCAGCAGGGTTCGAGGAGCCTTCTGACTGCTGCTCGTCGTCGCCTAGCCGCCTCCTTTTCTGCGACCGGCTGTTTTGTTCGTCGCCGCCGGGATTGCCGTCCGATTCGTTATAAGGGGTCTCGTTATTCTCGTCAGCCGCACAGACGCCGATATCCTGCAGAACGACACATATAAGCACAAGGACGAGCAAGAAATGGAAAAAACAAAACAAACAAGTAAAAACAACAATACGAAGGTTGAGTAAAGCCATTCGCATAAAACAGCAGGCATGTGCCCCTGAAAAACCACACAAAGTAAGTGTAACGCACCGTAGGATTTAATCCTCGCTTCCGTCCGCCGCGCTTGAGATCCCCCCCGTCCTGTCCGTCAGATCTTTCCTCGGAATCCGCATCACCGTCCGATCCACCTTTGAGTTCCGGATCCCTGTCGCAGCAGTCGTCACCTTCTTCTCCATCCTCGCTATTGAGGTCCTCGTCTCCGTCCCAAAGGTCGTCCTCTAGGGCTTGAGCGAAGTCAGCATCTTCGGAACTAAACGGATCGGCATCGGGAAAATCGGAGGTAATAGCAGCATCGGGTAACGTAGGAGCCATATGCGAAATTTAACGACCAAGAGTTTAAGGACCAAGGTAGAGACCTAGTTAGCAGGAAGTCCCAGGTACTATGTGAGGGTAGGAGGCTGGCAAAGGCATGTGGAGGTCTATGTCATTGTTATTATCAAACTCGATATTCCACATAAAAGAGATGATTCAATTCGGGCTTTTGCTATCACCAAACATACGAACCAATAACCGAGCTGTACCGATATATGTATCCTGCTTCAGGAACTATTCCTTCAAGTGTACAAGCCGCAAATTTGACACGAGGGTCAACTAAAGTTGAAATCTGGACAGCAACGAAAAACCAAATGTCACTCTCTGCTGACACGAGGCTGGGTGGGACTACCTGAGGGCGTGTCCAGCGCGTACGTTTTTTCGTCAAAACCCTGCCCAGCCGTTTTAGGTTTCTTATCGAACCTTCTGATCCGTGAGGCACCTCACCTAACCGCAATCAAACGTACGCGCTGGACACGCCCTGACGCGTGCTTCCTCCCCTTCACTCCAGAATATCCTGAGAAACTCAGCATAAATTACGCCCTAAACGAGTTTCTCAGGATATTTTGGAGCCTGTTTCGGAGGAGCCTGTCTGTTCTCTCAAGTCCTCCTGAGCTTCCAGTCTGGAAGATAGTCGCTGCCTGCCTGTGCGCCGAACCAGCAGGTTATCTAAGGTCCGAATCCACTGCGCCGATATTTGGGGAGGGATCCGTCGAATCTCGCGTGTTTTTGCGAGACCAGATCTCGTTCTAGAGGGCCGCTGTGGGGACCTTTACTCAACTCGACTGAGAGGTCACCGTGACCTCGCACAGAAATCGCTCGACCGAAAGGCGATCGACTTCGGTCGCAATTGATTAACCAGCGAATCTCCAAGTGGATTCGATCTCCTATTAACGTCCGCCTCCACCGACGCCAGTTACCCTCCTTCAGCCCTTTCTGATCTCTTTGTAGTGCTTACCCGCAGTTACCAGCGCTTACCAGCAGCTACTAGCGCCACCAGCAGTTACCAGCGCTTACCAGCACCAGTTACCAGCACTTACTACCGGCAGCCGCTAAGGACACGCTTTTCTTACCAGCAGCCACTAAAGACACGCTTTCTGTACCAGCGCTTACCTCCAGAAGCCATGGATCGGTGCATGAACAGAGTCATCGCTGGTGTCGCCGTCGGCGGCGCCGTTGGCGGAGCGATCGGTAAGAAAGCGCTTGCTTGTTTTTTCTAGCACTTGCCAGCAGTAACTACCAGCAGCCATGGACCGGTGCATGAACAGAGTCAAGTTTGGAGGCGCCTCAAAACTAGACCGGTTCATTAACAGAGTCATCGCCGGTGTCGTCGCCGTCGGCGGCGCCGTTGGCGGCGCGATTGGTGAGTGGATGCTCTGATGGCCAAAACGTTCCATTTGATATGTTCCAGTTTATCTTTGCATTTGGTTCTGAGGCGCCTTAAAACCAGACTTTTATCACGCGGATTTTGAGGCGCCTTAAAACCAGACTTCTATCACGCGGATTTTGAGGCGCCTTAAAACCAGACTTCTATCACACGGTTGGTGAGTGGACGCTCTGTTGGCCAACATGTTCCATTTAATATGGTCACTTTATCATTGCATTCGGTTTTGAGGCGCCACAGAACTAGACTTTTATCACGCGGATTCTGAGGCGCCTCAAAACCAGACTTTTATCACGCTATTGGTGAGTAGACGCTCTGATGGTCAACAGATTCCATCTGATGTGTTCCAGTTGCATTTGTTGAGAATTCTCAAGAACCTATCTCAGCTCATTCCAATGATTCCATATGATATGCTCCAGTTTATCAATGCATGTGGTTGTTCTTCCTGATATGTTGCATGCATGCGTGATGCATGCTCTGCATGCGAGGTGACTTTCGAGTCGACTCAAAAGTCATATATTCCAGTTTATCATTGCATTTGGTTGCTCTTCCTGATATCTTGCATGCATGATGTACCGCATGACGCATGCATGCATCTCCCCTCTTCCCTCTTTTCTGTTATTCTCTTCTCTCCCCCCGTGCCTCCTCCCCTCTCCTCCCCTTGCCCCTCTACTCTCCCGTTCCCTCCTCTGGTCTCGTCTCTGTGGCACATCTCCTCGCGTTTCTTCCCCCTTTCTCTTTTGTGCAGGAGCCATGTATGGGACATATGAAGCTTTCAGATACAAGGTACGAATTCTCAAAAACCAGCTTAGCTCGGATTAGACATGGGCATGAGCCGAGCCTGGCTCGGCTCAGCTCGTTTGGGGTCGAGCCGGCTCGGCTCGCCTCGAGCCGGGTCCTCAGGATCCCCGGCTCGGCTCGGCTCGTCAGGGGGGCTTGTGCGGGCTCTCAATTGGGGCCACGGGGTTTGGGGTCTCTAGTATAGGGGATAATCCATATTATTTAGCTGATCGTCTGCTCCTACATCTTACAAAACTATCAGGAGGAGCTGCCGGGTCAAATATGGCCAGCTGAGGTCGATAGACTAGCGCGACAGGATGAGGTTAGGGTTGGCAGACAATATTGGTGGGGGGGGGGGTTGTCGATCTGAAATTTGACAGTTGCGAAACCCCCCTTTCCCTAGCCGCGAGCCGGCTGGCTCGAAATCGAGCCAGCTCGAGTCGGCTCGACTCCGACTCGCCTGATTTCACGTGCGCGAGCCGAGCCGAGCCGCCGGCTCGAGTCGAGCCGAGGCTCGGCTCGAGTCGAGTCGAGGCTCGGCTCGAGTCGAGCCGGGTACCAAAAAAGAAGGCTCGGCTCGCCTTGAAGGCGAGCCGAGCCGAGCCGAGCCAGGTGTGGCTCGGCTTGTGCCCATGTCTAGCTCGGATACAAGGTACGCGGGGTTTTGGAAGCAGGAGGCCGAGTCATGTCAGCCTTTATCTTAGATTCATTGTCTATACAGGGCATGAAGTTTTATATGTTATGATAAATGGATGCTTTAACTCTCTTGCATGAACCCAGTTCATCCTATGTTCTTCAAGCATGCTCATCATTCAGTGCGTTGGCTAGGCAATGCAGCTGTGTTTCTCATACGAGTGATGTTGCACTTTTTCCATGTTTCTCATACCGGTATGTCTCCTCGATATTCCCTCTCCCATTGCCAAACCTCTCAGGTTCCAGGCCTGCTCAAGGTCCGGTACATAGGCCAGACCACATTGGGAAGTGCAGCTGTATTCGGCTTGTTTCTAGGCGCAGGAAGCCTGATCCACTGCGGCAAATCATACTAAAACAGTTGGCTAAGGCAGAGCCCTGTATGTGCCACATCTCTTCATATGATATTGCTGTTGTAACATGGTCCCTGGTTTTGAAGCGTTTGTCTTACCTAAATACTGGTATAACTGCCCAGCCGACGGTATACACCGAACATCCCAACTCCAAAACGGCACTGCTTGTATGGTAACAAAAGAATGGCATCCTTTCGCATGTCCTGTCATGTGTGCATGCTTCATGCACGCTCTATACAATGCATACTACATAGTTCCACCACCCAGAAAAGAGGCTGGCCAAGTCATCCTAGAGCCTGTGGTCAGAGTCCATAGTTAGGTCAGACTAGCACACGGTGGTTGCTTTACCCATATCCACACTGGTCACTGTGCTACCATGCAAGCAATGCTTGTCGGTGCTGACTTTTGAGTCAACTCAAAAGTCAGACTAGCACACGCATATCCACACTGGCCACAGCACCATGCAATGCCTGCTGCCGGTGCTGGCAGTAATGCCATCTGCGACAAGGGCAAACTTCAGAATGTACCTGACTTGTGAGTCCATTCAAACTCAGGCTGAAACCACAGCCTGCACTGGTGGCAGTAAACCCACCACCATCGCGATTTGAATAGAGAAATTTACCCCAATTTCCGGGTCTATTAACCCGTCTGCACCAGCCGCAGCAACCCCACCACCACAAGGGCAAACTCGGCAATTTCCAGCCCAACCGATGCCACTACCTCGCCCGCCCCCTCCGCGGGTATCTCGTGCCTGCCGCCCCCTCCCGTCCTCCCTCCTCCCGACCCTCCTGCGTTCTGGCTGATTGGTAGATGCGCCGCGGCTCCTAACACTATCCTCATCTGCTTCGCCTCCTCCTCCGCCGAATCTGCCTTGGCCCAGAATGACTTGACTAGACTGATTGAGCTGTTGTGTGCTAACAGCCCACTTGCACCGGCCGCAGCAACCCCACCACCACGAGGGCAAACTCGGCAATTTCCAGCCCAACCGATGCCACTACCTCGCCCGCCCTCTCCGCAGGTATCCCGTGCCTGCCGCCCCCTCCCATCCTCCCTCCTCCCGACCCCCCTGCGTTCCAACTGATAGGCAGGTGCGCTGCCGCTCCAAACACTATCCTCATCTGCCTAGCTTCTTCCTCTACTGAATCCACCTTGGTCCAGAAGGACTTGTCTAAATTCAGCTGGGCAGTGGTGGTGGAGATGGTGGTGGTGGTGGTGGTGGTAGAGATTACACACTCCTTCGAAGTGGAAACTGTGCTGCAGCTGCTGCTGCCGCTGCTGCCGCCACCACCACCTGTAATACATGTGTCTTGAGTATCCCCAATGGGGCATGCAATTCCGCTGCTCACTGGCCTATGGCTGTTTGCCAAACCTTGTCTGCCGCCACTGCTGCTGCTGCTGCTGCTGCTGTTAATGCTGTGACTGGTGGGGCTGTTTCTTCTGTGCTCTGAGAGATGATGCTTGGAGGAGGGCGAGAAGAGTGAAAGGGACGAGGTGGGCTTTCTGGGAGTCTTCTTGGGGTCGCCAGGTTTATTTTGGGAAATAATTTGCTCCAGGCCCTGCAATGGGAAAGAGGGAGACAATAACAACGGGCAGGAACATGAAAACAATTGATTATAATGCGAACACTGAGTCATCTCACCTCTCCCCTCCAGGTCACCCGCTCCCTCTAGGCCTCTCTGTAAGCTGCTGCTGAGGTGCGTCCAAGACTTACCCGAGCCAGGGATGCTCGCATGTGGGATGATGACTGGGCAATCTGGTCGATGTTAGCTAGCGCTTCCTCCAGCGCTGCTATATCCACCCGCAGCCTCGCCACCACTGACAGCGTCACTCTCTCCCCGGCCCTCCTGGTTCTCTCTCTAGGCTGCTGTTGAGGTAGTTTTCGAGAATTCTCAAAAACACCCTGGTTCTCTCTCTAGGCTGCTGTTGAGGTACTTCCAATGAGCTGCCTAGAACACTTACCCGAGCCAATGAAGAGCGCATGTCGGATGACGTCTGGGCGATCTGGTCGATGGTTGCTAGCGCTTCCTCCAGCGCTGCTATATCCACCCGCAGCCGCGCCACCACTGATGGCGTCACCCTCTCTCGGTCCCCCCTGGGGGAACTCCCCCTGCTGCTGCCCCCCGTCAGGTACGCCGATCCCCCGCTCCCCCCTCCACCTCCCATTCCTCCCCCTCCCCCCCCTCCTCCACCTCCCCCGGCTCCCCCTCCACTGGGCGCCCCTCCCCCCGAATTCCGCCCCCCAACACCCTTGAAAAGACCAAAGAGCGAGAATGCTGACGCTGCACCTGCCGAGCTGGGCCCTCCCCCAGTTCCTCCTCCCCCTCCTCCCCCCCCTATTCCAAAGCTGCTTTCCGAGTGGAAGGAGCTCTGCCTAGACCGGTTCACGTTGATTGAAGGGGGAGGGACGAACCCCCCTCCGAACACTGGTGACCGGCTGTGAAACTGATACGAGCTCTGGCTCTGACTCTGGCCTTGATAATGCGTCTGATACTGAGGAACGTTGATAGCCCCTGTTCCCATTCCCCCTCCTCCTCCTCCTCCTCCTGCTCCTGCTCCTCCTGCTGCTCCGTACAGCCCTTGCAATCCGCCTCCCATCATAATCATGCCTCCATACCCACCCCCTCCCGCTGCTCCTTCCCCCACTCCTCCCACCCCCCCTGGCCCGTACTCTGAAGCAGCGCTGCCGTCTAGAGGGTCGAGCGAGGGGGACGAGGACCAGAGCGCGGGGATCATGGTGCTCTCTGAACCAGCAGACCACACGCCTGCTGTCTCCGCGCTCTGCCAGGGGAGGGAGCTGGGAGGGAGAGGAACAGGGACAAGATAGAATGAGGGCGACAAGGAGAGGACCACAGCGGGACGAGGACCAGAGCGCGGGGATCATGATGCTCTCTGAACCACCGGACCACACTCCTCCTGTCTCCGCACTCTGCAAGGGAAGGGAGCTGGGAGGGAGGGGGGATAATGGCAAAAGGAGAGAGTGAGAGGGTGCGTGGCCTGTACCCAGGATGGCCCAGCAACGAAGGACCGTTCATCGAGAGGGGGACGAGGACTGGAACGCGGGAATCATGGTGCTCTCTGAAGCACCAGATTGCAGGACGCGGGATTAATGAGGAGGGGGAAGAGGAGGAGCGGGGAGTCAGGGGAAATGCAGGATCAGGGGGGGCAGACATCCATGCGTGAGGAATCTTTTTCAGAGGCTCCTCAAAAATAGACTCCTCATGATGAGGAGGGGGAAGAGGAACGGGGAGTCAGGGGAAATGCAGGATCAGTGGGGCGGAAGAATGTACTCTCTTGTGATGGTCTCGTCTCCTTTCCAGGGACATGAAGTGGTTTAGTTATGGGACTAAACTACTTACCCTCGTTTTCAGGGACATAAAGGGAGATCTTGTCTCGTCTCGTCTCGTCTCATAAAGGAGGTCTTGTCTTGTCTCGTCTCGTTTCATAAAGGAGGTCTCGTGGGGGAGAGGGAGGCAGGGGGAAGAGGGGGAGGCAGGGGGACGAGACTCACTCTCTCGCGATGATCTCGTCTCGCTTCCGCACTTCCTGCTGCAGCGCCACGACCTCGTCCCTCAGCTGCTGCACCTCCGCTGCCGTGTCCGCCAGCTGCATGAGCGCATTCACCTTCTCTGCCGTCACCTGCATGCAAGGGCAGCAGAGAGAAAGACACAGAGCAAAGGGTAAGACCAACAGGCAGAGCTGCAGCGCCCAAACCTCGTCTCGTCCCTCGGCTGCTGCACCTCCGCTGCTGTGTCAGCCAGCTGCATGAGGGGCGTTCACCTTCTCTGCTGTCACATGGGAGTGGAAACAGCACGCAAATGGCACAGGGGGGGGGGGGGGGGGCGGGGAAGAAGGGGCAATGTCACAACAACCTCGTCCCTCAGCAGCTACACCTCCACTGCCGTGTCTGCCAGCTGCATGAGCGCGTTCACCTATTCGGCCGTCACGTGGAACGAATGTGCACAAGTGGAGGAAGGGAGTGGGTCATTTGCACAGGGATCTCGTCCCTAAGGTGTGTCTGTGAAGCTGTGCACCTCTGCTCTGTTCCTGTGTCTGCAGGGTGTTTTTTAGAAATCTCAAAAACTGCCTGCTAGCTGCGCTGCGTCAGCGCGTCCACCTGTTATGCTGTAAGTTGGTTCTTGAGAAAGATGAAAAACCAACTTACCTCTGCTCTGTTCCCGTGTCTGTTAGCTGCGCTGCATCAGCGCGTCCACCTTCTCTGCCGTCACCTGGGAGTGAAAGCAGCACACCTGCAAGCCTTTCAACAGCCGCTCCTCCTCTGCAGCCAGCATCACCAGCGCCACCACCCACCTTATCCCTCATCGCCTCTAGTGGTTCCCAGGCGTTTCCTACCCCAGCTCTCACCTGACCCAGGGTGGCATTCAGCCCAGCGATCGTCTCCCTAAGACTCCCAACCATCTGCGAGTCCTTCAAGTGCCTCTCCTCCTCCGCAGCCAGCATCACGAGCGCCTGCACCTTCTCCCTCATCGCCTGAGACAGCATCTCCTCAGTCGGCTCCTCCCCATACGGATCCTTGCTAGAGAACTGATATTTTTCTAGCCCATCCGAGAGCTCCTCTGAGCCTGAAGAAGGCAGGTTCTTTGGCGTTCCTGCACCTCCCATGTCCCCGCCACCTCTTCTCCTCCTCTCCTCCCTCTCTTTCTCGAGCTCACGCTGGACATCCCTCAGCCGCTGCTGCACCTCCTCTCTCTCCCTCATCCCCTTCTCCCTCTCTGCTTGCACTGCCGCTGCTGCTTCCGCTTTCGCCCGAGCCACCTGTGCTGCTGCTTCCTTCCCCACTAGGTCCCACTCCCTCGCACCGTTTCTTCTCCTCTCCACTTCCCCTCTCAACCCCTCCACTTCCTCTCTCAACCGCGCTCCCTCCTCTCTCTCCCTCCCAAGCTCCTCCCTCAACCTCCCCTCCACCTCCTTCCCCTCCCTCTCCTCCCTCTCCCTCTCCCTCCGCTCCTCCTCTCTCTCCCTCTCCATCCTCTCCCGTTCCCTCCTCGCCTCCTCCCTCTCCCTATCCGCCCTCTCCCTCTCCCGTTCCGCCTCTTCCCTCCCCCTCTCCGCCTCCCGCCTCCCCCTCTCCGCCTCTTCCACCTTCTCATCCGCAACCTCCTGCTGCTTCGCCAGAGTAGCCGCATGCCTCCCAGCCTCTTTAACCCTCTCTAGCAAATCCCATTTTTCTTTCATCATCTTGTCAGCTTCCATCCTTGCCTTTTCAGTCACGTTTGCCTTTTCTTTCCGCAACTGCTCCGCTTCTACCTTTGCTTTCTCTATCGCCTCCGCCTTGGCCTTTTTCAGCTGGTCTAGCTCAAGCATCGTCTGGTCTCGCTGCTCCAGCGCTGCAGCCGCCTGCCTCTGGTAGAAGCGCACTTCCTCCTCTGCTGCTGTGCGCTGGAGGGGCAAGGACGGGGAAGGCGTGGGCTTGAGGAGATACCTTGCGAAGTGTGGGTAATAGCCCACAGCATGCACACACAGCATTCGACCCCATTCCATACCATACCATACCATACCATTCCATTCCATACCATTCCATTCCATACCATACTATACCATACCAACAAGACCATACAATACCATACAATACCATACCATACCATACCATACCATACCATACCATACCATACCATACCATACCCTACCCCACACCATGCCATGCCATGCCATGCCATCGATTTACCAGACGCACCTTGCTGTGCTCCTCTTTCCACATGGCCGCTGCTCCAGCCTGCAAAAACAGCAACAGACCATTTGGCACAGAGGAAAACGACAAATAATGTGGGCCAAGTTACACACGTTCACATTCAATCTTTCTCGTTTTGTTTCTTCAGAAGTTGCATCAGATCTCCACGCACCTTCTTCAGCTCGGCATTCGAGTCATGGAAAAATCATCGCCCCATACCCCCATGCCCCACACCCCATACCCCATAACCCATGCCCCGTAAACCCATGCCCCGTAACCCCATGCCCCGTACCCCCATGCCCCGTACCCCCGTGCCCCGTACCCCCATGCCCCGTACCCCTGTGCCCCTTACCCCATGCTACGCCATCCCCACACGCACCTGCGTCTGCTCGGCGTCCACCAGGTCATGCCTGAGGTCAGCAATCTCTGATATCCCACTGCCCTACTCCAATGCCCCGTGCCCCATACCTCCATATCGCAAATCCCCATGCCCATATCCCCATATCCCCATATCCCCATATCCCCATGCCCCCATGCCATGCCATCCCTACACGCACCTTCTTCTGCTCGGCGTCCGCCAGGTCATGCCTGAGGTCAGCAATCTCCATCTCCAGCGATGCAAGCGTGTGGCGACACGTGGCAAGCTCTGCCTCCAGGTTGGCGACCCTGACGCGTGAAGAAGAAAAAAGGTACAGTGAAAACGGGCATTAACAAGAAGAAAGAACCGAGAAAATGTTTCGGGTTTCTAACAACGTACCCTCTCTGATTACCTTGCCCTTTTATAAAACGCGCGTGCCCTCGATTCGCGCCTCACCTTCGAGCCTGCATCTGCGCCATAGCATCTACAGCCCAACATTACGAGGTGACTTTTGAGTCGACTCAAAAGTCACCATAGCATCTACAGCCCAACATTACGAGGTGACTTTTGAGTCGACTCAAAAGTCACCATAGCATCTACAGCCCAACATTACCCCCTACTTCCCAAAAAAAAGACTACTCCTCCTCGCGGCCCACCTTCTGGCCTGCATCCGCGCCATGGCGTCTTCGGCTCCAGCGCTCCCCACCTGCTGCAGGCACATCCCCTCCAGGTCACGCTGCAGCTCATCGCGCTCTGTTACAGGATGAGGGAACAAGGGGCAAGGGAAAAGGAATCGGCGGGTTTTGAAGCGCATCAGTACACCTGCTGCAGACACGTCACGCATCCCCTTCAGGTCACGCTGCAGCTCATCGCGCTCTGCCACGTGGACAACGGATGCGGAAATGGTCGTTAGTGGAAACGGGCGAAGGGAAGGGATGTTCTCTTCGAAAAGGTAGTGCGACGAAGAGAAACGAAGAGAGGCGAACACCATGGGACAGAACGCTAGGTAAAGCAACACAGAAAAACGATACGAGAAAATCAGGAATAGATGTGTAGCGGTTGAAAGGGAGAAACCATTTTTGAGGCGCCTCAAAAACCATGGAGCGAACACCTGAAGAGTGTCCCAAAGACCCTGGTCTTCTTTCCTCCCCACTATCCTGACTTTGCAGGGTGTTTTTGAGGATTCTAAAAAACTCCCCACTATCCTGACAGAAGAAACAAGGGGTAACGACGTGAGGATCGACTAACCTGCTTCCAATTCCTTTATCCGCTTCTGCAGAGCCCTTTCTCTTGCTGTGTCCACCGCCATGGTTAAGCTACAACGTTAAACTACTAAGTCAGGATCCGTCAGTTAGACCTAAACTCGAATTGATCAGTCTGAAAATAGAGAAACTACAGTAAAAATTTTGGGACCACTGAACAGCACATTGCCACTTCAGACTCGGTCACTTCCGAGCATACCAATAAAACCCGCTTCCCCACGTCACGATGCCGACGACGCATGGAGCTACTTGTTGACACGCAACGGACCGTTGCAACCTAAAACAACGACTGGGCAGAACCTACACAGAGGTTAAATCATAACATACAAAATCAACCTCCGTCCAGTTTTAGAGAAAATTACTGTCCCCTGAGAAAACTGGACCTGCAGGCAGCTAAGGTAAGTTCTCTGCTGGAGCTTCTATTCAACGCACCTGCTAAGCTGGAGAAAGATGTCAGGAAAGGAGGTAAGGAAAAGGAGGTTGCTGCTGATTAGGTGAAGTAGCTTCGGCATGGCGGGGGGTGAGCTTCGGCACGGATTTGGCGGGATTTTTGTGCTTCCAGGCAGGTTCAGGCCGGTGCCCTAACCTCTGGGCACCTGTTCGACAACACCGAGGCCCCTTACCAAGCCTGACTGCTTGGCGGCGTGGGGTGTCGTAACCAGTCGGGCATGATGCGTGTCCTCAGATTGGCTCCAAGTTTTTCGCGGGGAAGAAAAACCGAGAATGGAGGTTTGGGAAATGATGGGGCAGCACGCGAACGCAAACTCGTGGGGGTTGAAGCCCACGAACCTTCAAGTCCAAGGGCATTTCTTGCCCGCGACTCGGCAATTTAACTTTCGTGCTGCTGCCCAGCCTGTTCTCCAACAAACCGCGTTGTTTCGCACGTGTCAATTCCTGGCTTGCCGGAACCGCTGGCTCCCCCCCCAACCACTTGATTCGTTACAAACAGCTCGATTTTACAGTGTCTTTCATGGAGCTTCAGTGACAGATAAAAAGAGAACTGTAAAATTATATCCATACGCAACGCGACCCACGCCCCATAGATACCCTGCATGCATATAATCGACATATAAGCGACGACTAAGCGACGACTAAGCGAAGGTCTGGACTCTGTCGTTTCCAGCGTCCGTGTCGACTGTCAAGATGCGAGGGGGCGGATCGCTCGCGTCACGATTCTTACGCGCGTTCCAGTCCTCGCACCTCCCCGCTACTGGCGTTAGCGCATCGTCGCCCTTCGTCCCTGCAACCGCCGCATCCTCCGTATCCGCCGCGTCCGTCGCAACGCGCATCGGCCCTCTCGCCAGCGTTCCGACCGCCGCCGCTGCATCCAGCAGCCATTCCGTTTTCCGAATCGCGTCTCTCCTCTCAAACCTCTCGCCGCTGCCGTCGCCGCCATCTCCGCCGCAATTTCCGCCGCACTCTTCCCCAGCAACGATACCTTCCAGGTCATTTGGAACCTCCTCTCCTCTAGCACAGTCCGTCTTGACACGTGGACTTTTCCCCGCGCTGCGTCAGCAACACGTGGCGGGCGCTGAGCCCATGGGCGCGTCGCTCGTTCTAAAACGTGGATTTGCGAAGCGACAAAAGAAGTGGCGAGGAGGTAAGCGGATGGGGAATGGACTGAGTTGTATTTTGAGTCGACTCAAAATACAACTCAACTTCTAAACTGCTACCAGCACTTCGGCGACTGGCTTCCAACCAGAATTTTGTTTTTTAACCCGCCGACAAAAACCTGGGTTTGGCTGTCATGGACAGGGATTTTTACAAGGACATGTGTTTTGAGTCGACTCAAAATACAACCGGATGGGGAATGGACTGAGCTGCTGCGGGGTGGGATGTGAATTGCGCGTATGGGAAAACAAACTGCGCTGATGGGGGGAATCAACCGCGCAGAGGGGGAAGGGGGGAGGGGTGGTTGGGGGGGAAGGAGGGGGAAGGGGGGGGGGAGGGATAAGCTGCCCGGATAGATCTGCTGCCTATATTCGCTATAAGTCTCCTCAGAACCATTAGTAACTTTCATTTTCTCCTTCCATGCCTCCTGTCTCCTGGTTCCTCCCCTCCCCTCCACTCCCCTCTCCCCTCTCCCAACGCCGGCATTTTTTCCAACAGACCCATGGGTGCTGGTGAATGTGCCCAAGGGATCGGAGCACGTACCGGCGTCTCAGCCCAATGCTGGCAGCATTGGGGCAAGAAACCGCATGCGGCCTCTTTTAACCCACAAGCTCATCTCCTCCCGTCCCCCTCCGCTCCCTTACCTCCCCTCATCAATCCCACAGACCCATGGGTGCTGGTGAATGCGCCCAAGGCAGCAGAGCAGGTGCCGGCCTCCCAGCCCAATGCAGGCAGCATGGGTGGCATGAACCACGTGCGACCCTCTTCTTAACCCACAATATCCTCTTTCCCCCCCTCCCCCCTACCCCCTCCCCACCCATACCTCCCCTCATCAACCCAACAGACCCCTGGGTGCTGGTGAATGTGCCCAAGGCAGCAGAGCAGGTGCCGGCGTCTCAGCCCAATGCTGGCAGCGTTGGGGGCAGGAACCAAAGGCGGCGCATGCTGCAGCGGCAGCTGTTCGTGAAGGTGGGTGAGCCGCAGCAATGTATGAGTTTCAAATGAGAAGGCTGGTTAGCAAGGGCAGCAAGGACCACAGGCGGCGCATGCTGCAGAGGCAACTGTTGGTGAAGGTGGTGGGCAGCAGCTATGTCTTGATTCCAACTGAAGGCTGGTTAGCAAGGGCAGCATTCGGGCTGGCTAGGAAGGGAAGCGCGCGGGGCGGGAAGGAACCAAAGGCGGCGCATGCTGCAGCGGCAGCTGGTCGTGAAGGTGGGTGGGTGGGTCGGCGGGTGGGCAGTGGGCACATGTATGGCATAAAATGGCAAATGGTGGATGCAAGCAAGAGCAGTGGCAAATGGTGAATGCAAGCAAGAGCAGTGGCAAATGGTGAAGGCGCAGAAGAAGGAGGCGCTAAAGAGGAGGGACGCAGAGAGGAGGGCGAAATGGATGTTTTGGATGCTTACTGCTGTCCGCTGCCCTCTCTCCTCCCCTTCCCCTCGTCTTGTTGAGAGCAGGAGCAGTGGCAAATGGTGAAGGCGCAGAAGAAGGAGGCACTGAAGAGAAGGGATGCAGAGCGAAGGGCGAAATGGAAGGCTGGGGCTGCTAGGGCGAGAGAGTGGCAGGAGGGGCAACTTGCAGCAGCGGCAGGAGAAGGAGGGGGAGGAGGGCAAGGAGTGCTAGGTACCGCTTGAGGCTCCTCATGCCTGCCAGGTTGAATGAAGGGGGACACAGAAAAGGGAGCGACGGGAGAGGCTGGAGGGATGGAAGGGGAAGGCTGGGGCTGCAAGGGCGAGGGAGTGGCAGGAGGGGCAACTTGCAGCAGCAGCAGGAGGGCAAGGAGTGGAAGCCACTGCTTGAGGCACCTCATGCACTAAAACGCTGCCCTTCTTGATGCCATATGTGACACTCCCCCATGTGGAGGTTGTTCAGGCTATTTGGTTCCCATTTTTTAGAGATCCCTTCCTTGCCTCGTCGCAATTCTCTGGCGTTTCCCGTTCACGTCAGTCAGTGCCTTGGATAACTGATCGCATCGCACGCTGCAATTGACTACCGTACCAGCAACCCTAACGACTAGCGTGTTTGTGTTTGTGGTGTATATGTGCAATTTGGGTGTAAAGTAAACGAACTGTGTACATACAGTGCAGTACGAAGCATTAGATGCTCAGATGATCAGATCAGATGCAACCGAGCTGGCACGTCTTCATCCAGAGACTTATTAGGGTAGAGAATTTGCAAGCTTTGGATTGAACCAACACAGGAGACCGTGCCACTCTGCACTGTGCCAGTATCCTCCTTTACCAGAGCAATGCCGTTATAGCAGTAATAATCATAGGGTGGTTGCTGCCAAAAACCCATGCAGTGGATGCTCCATCTGCTTCCATGGATCATGGAAGTTCCGTCACGGAACCATCTAGATTCTAGACTTGTAACAATGCTCTTTATAAGGCCCATCGCCATCCTCCCCATACTCCCCATCACCGTAGTCATCACCCTCCCCCCACCGCCTCCCCCCACCGCCTCCCCCCACCTCCTCCCCCCACCTCCTCCCCCCCACCACCTCCCCCCCACCACCTCCCCTCAGCTTTTCCTGCCGGTCCTTCTCCTTCCTCCTCCCCTTGCTCCTCTCGTCCTCCCTCTGCAAACCACCTGTTGCTGGTGAGACTTGGACCCACACCACTCCATGCTGCTCAACCTTCTACATGCTGTCACATAGGGTAGCTAATGACAGGATTTCACATAAGCCCACCATCCTCCCCCCATCCTCCCCCATCCCCCCCATCCCCCCCATCCTCCCCCATATTCCTCATCCCCATCATCATCCCCCACCACCTCCCCTGCCGCCACCTACCCTGCCGCCACCTACCCTGCCGCCACCTACCCTGGCGCCACCTACCCTGCTGTCACCTCCCCTGCCGCCACCTCCCCAGCCGCCAACTCCCCAGCCGCCAACTCCTCTTCTTGTAAGGCCCACCGTCCTCCTCCCCATACCCCCCTCATCACCATAATCGTCATCACCCCACCACCTCCCCCGCCTTGTTCTGGTTATGTGGCGAATAACCGGACTTCTTTTAAGGCCCATCGACCTCCTCCCCATTCTTCCCACCCCCATCATCACCATCATCTCTATTTTTTAAGCGCCTAAAAAATCTCCCCATTCTTCCCACCCCCATCATCACCATCATCTCCCACCACTTCCCCTGCCGCCTCCCCCGGCGCCTCCCCTGCCACCGCCCTGTTCATATACTCTGGCCAATAACGGGACTTCTTATAAGGCCCACTGTCCTCCTCCCCATACCCCGCCTCCCCTGCCGCCTCCCTTGTCTTCCTTTCAATAATCTTGTTGATTTGGTTCAGCTCAATGCTCAGCTCCTGGTTCAGCTCATTTCTTCTGCCAGTCCCTCCCCTTCTTCCTCCCCTTCTTCCTCCCCTTTTCCCTCCCCTCCTCCCCTTCTCCCTCCCCTTCTCCCTCCCCTTCTCCCTCCCCCCCCTCCCCTCCCTCCCCTTCTCCCTCCCCCTCCCTCCCCCCCCTCCCTTCTCCCTCCCCTTCTCCCTCCCCTTCTCCCTCCCCTTCTCCCTCCCCTTCTCCCTCCCCTTCTTCCTTCCCTACCACCACCTACTCCTCTTCAATGCAGACCACCTGCCACCCAGCCAGCCACGGTGACTTAGAGACACTAGACCCTCTGACGCTATTGCTCTCATGATGATAGCTAATACCGGGACTTCTTGTAAGGCCCCCCATCCTCATCCCCATACTCCCCATCCGCATCATCATCTCCCACCACCTCCCCTGCCGCCTCCCTCTTTTTCCTCTCAATGATCTTGTTGATCTGATTCAGCTCGTTGTTTAGCTTCTGCTGCCGGTCCTTCTCCTTCTTCTTCCCCTTCCTCCCCTCCCCCTCCCTCCCGCCCGCCCGCCTACTGCTGCCAGCCCCCTTGTCCGCAGTCTCTCTGTCTCGGTCCGTGTCCTTGGATGCATCGGCACAGGTCTCATCGTCATCATCACTATCACCAGTGAACATGTCCTGCACCTGTGCCAACTGTGGAGGAAGCGGGGGGAGATGGGGAAGGAGGGGGAGAGGGGGAAGGGGGGGCCAAGGGGGGATGGGGGAGTGTGCGGAAGAAACTGCTATTTCGGGTTGGGAAAGCTCCTGCTGCTGCCAGCCCTCTTGTCCGCCGTCTCTCTGTCTCGGTCCGTGTCCTTGGATGCACCGGCACCAGCATCATCGTCATCGTATCACCAGTGAGCATGTCCAGTACCTGTGCCAACTGTATGTCGGATGAGGCGGGGGGGGGGGGGGGGGAGGGGAGGGAGGTGGGGGTTGGAGGGGAGGCGGGAAGCGGGGGATGGGAGGTTGATTTTAGGCGGAGTAAAGGAACGCCCGCCTGCTGCTGCCAGCCCTCTTGTCCGCCGTCTCTCTGTCTCTCTCCGTATCCTTGGATGCACCGGCAGGGTTCTCATTGCCATTGTCGTATCACCAGTGAACATGTCCTGTACCTGTGCCAACTGTGGAGGGTGGGCGTAAAAAAGGAGAATGAAGAGGGGAGAGGACTTTTCTTTTTGGGTTTTCTCCAAAAGAAGGTGCTGCATATGTAAGCTTATGGTCGAAGAGGAAGTGTTGGGCTGGTTTAGTTTTGAGGCGCCTCAAAACTCAAAACTAATTTTGAGGCGCCTCAAAACTAGTGTTGGGCTGGTTCTGTAGAATCTCCTAAACCAGATTGAGCCATATGGTGGTGGTGGTGTCGCTTCTTCCATGCGTGAGGAGTCTATTTTTGAAGTGCTTAAAAATCACAAAACCAGCTTTAGCCATGATGGTGGTGTTGTTTCTTCCACCCATCCGAGACAACGATTTCGCATGGTGTTTTTTATAATTCTCAAAAACACCCTGAGAATTCTAAAAAACAGCCTGAGAATTAAGAAGAGCAGCCTACAACTCCAGCTCGAGCCATGGTGGTGTCGCTTCTTCCACCCTTCCGAGCCAACTCAACTCCCTTCTCTCACTCTCCACCACACAGGACGGAGGAAGTCAGAAATGGACGGGAGGAAAGAGGAGGGAGTGGGCGGGAAAGAGGGAGTGGGGGAGGGAAAGGGTGGAGAGTGGAGAGGATGAAGAGAGAGTGGCTCGTACCAGCCTCGTTTCCTCCACTTTCCTTGCCAACTCATCCCCCTCCTCCTCATACCTCCCTGCCCTTCCTTCCCCCAGCTTCAAGGTACCTCGTAACACTTTCCTCGTAACACTCACCTGTCTCGCCTCGTCCACTTTCCTTGCCAACTCATCCCCCTCCTCCTCGCCACTCTCCACCACCTCCCTACATGCCATGATGTGCTTATGACTGAGACTTCTGACGCTCACCTGTCTTGCTTCTTCCACTTTCCGCGCCAGCTCATCCCCCTCCTCCTCGTCACACTTCACCACCTCCCTACATGCTACGATGTGCTTCTGACTGAGACTTCTGACGCTCACCTGTCTTGCTTCTTCCACTTTCCGCGCCAGCTCATCCCCCTCCTCCTCGTCACACTTCACCACCTCCCTACATGCTACGATGTGCTTCTGACTGAGACTTCTGACGCTCACCTGTCTTGCTTCTTCCACTTTCCGCGCCAGCTCATCCCCCTCTTCCTCGTCACTCTCCACCACCTCCCCGGCGAAATTCGCCCCATATTCCCGCTGGTAACATTCCTCGTACCCCCCCGCCCCCAGTGCATTTGGATCCTTAACCTTCTCCCTCCCCTCCCTCACTTTCTCCCTCCCTTCCCTCCTCCTCGCCTCCTCTTCCTCGGGAGTGAATCTCTTAAACACTGACGCCAATCCCCTGCCTTTCTCCTCTTCTGTCAGGTAAGCGCCAGTAGCACCAACTTCGGTTGATGCCAGAGGGATGGTGTCAGGAGGAGGAGGAAAGGGGGGAGCAGCAGGAGCAGGAGGCACAGGGGGATGGGCGACTGAGTAACCCCCCGAGGGAAGGGGAGGAGGGGGTGGGTACCCTCCCTCCCCTCCCCCATACGGGTAGTGTTGCAGAGAAGGAGGGGGAGGGGGAAGTGGAACCAGGCCGGGATAGTGAGGAGGAGGGGGAGGAGGGGGGTACTGTTGGTGATAGGGATATGTGGAGGGTTGGGAGGCCGGAGGGGGGGGGAGAGAGGTGGGCCAGAGAGTGTGGGAGGGGGGGGCACCGGGAGGAGGAAGAGGGGGAGGCGGCGGGTAGTCTTCCCAGGAGCCATCAGTGGGAGGGTAGGCAGGCCCAACCTGGTTTATGAAAGGGAGAGGGGGGGAGCAGACACGGAAGGAGAGAGGAGGGGCAGTGAGTGCGTGTAGGGGTAGCACCAGGAGCACCAGGAGCACAGGGAGGAGGAGGAGGAGGGGTTGGGTAGTCTTTCCAGGAGTCATCTGTGAGAGGGTAGGCAGGCAGGCCCCACCTGGTTTAGGGGAGAGAGAGTGGGGAATGGAGAGAGAGAGAGGGGGGGGGGGGGGGGTGGAGGGAGGGAGGGAAGAAGAGCACAGGAGAGAAATTGATGATGAAGGCTCACTATGGCATGAAGTGCTAATGAAGCATCCTACTGTGCATGCCATGTGCTGCTCTCACCATGCCATGTGCTGCTCTCACCATGCCACGTGCTGCTCTCACCATGCCATGTGCTGCTCTCACCATGCCACGTGCTGCTCTCACCATGCCATGTGCTGCTCTCACCATGCCATGTGCTGCTCTCACCATGCCACGTGCTGCTCTCACCATGCCATGTGCTGCTCTCACCATGCCACGTGCTGTTCTCACCGTGCCATGTGGGAGTGGCGGAGCGGGAGGAGGCGGCAAGACACCTCCACCATCATCCTCATCATCCATGTCCATGTCTGCGTCATCAGCAGCAGGAAGGGGGGGTGGAGGAGGAAGCAGCGAAGGAGGAGGGGGGACTGCAGGAGCAGAACCACCACCACCCGCAGCAGCGGCAGCAGCAGCGGAGGCGGCAGCAGCAGCATGTGCAACCGCTTCTGCGATACCGCTGGGTACGTCGAAGTAAGCAGGGCGGGAACCACTTGCAGCAACAGCAGCTTCTGTCGCTGCTGCTGCTCCTTCTGCCCCTGGGACCACGTCAACCGCAGGTGCAGTAGGCTTCGTCGTAACCGTGTAATCTCTTCCCACATCCGCAAAAATATCCTCATCCTCGTCCTCCTCCTTGTCGTTACGTGCTGCTGCTGCTGCTGCTGCTGCTGCTTTCGCTGCCTCTGCCTTAGCTGCTGCCTCCTTTCTGCTTCTCCGTCCACTGCTGCTGCTGCCAGTCCCGTTTGCCGTGCCGCCTTTCCCAACACCACCAGCACCACCATTCCCAGCCACAGCTTCGGTCGGCGCCAAGCCTTGGGCCGAACCAGCAGCAACAGGTTGGTCGGCCGATGGCTGAGAGGGCTTGGGCGGAAGAATACCATGCACCAGGACTGGAGATGGGAGAAGGGCAAAGCGGGGGGAGAAGAGAAGGGAAGTGAGCGGAAGGGAGTGAGTTGGGAGAGGGCTTGGGGTGGCTGAGGGTTGAGAGGGCTTGGGTGGAAGAATACCATGCACCAGGTCTAGGGCGGGGGGCGGAGGGGGAAGTGAGGGGGTAAATGGGGAAAATGGGAGGTAGGAGGGGCGGAAGGTAAGGTGAGAGCTGAGAGGGCTTGAGCGGAAGAATACCATGCACCAGGACTGGAGATGGGGGAAGAAGGAGCGGAGGGGGGGGGGGGGGGGGAAAGGGAGGCAGTGTGTGGGTGGAGGTTAGGTTAATGGGAAAAAAAGGGAGGTAGGAACGGGGCTGGGAGGGCTTAGACGGGAGAATACCTTGCACCAGGACTGGAGATGGGGGGGGGAGGGGGGGGGGGGAGACAGTGTGGGGGTAAATGGAAAAATGGGAGGTAGGAAGGGGGCACGTAAGGCAAAGTGTTTTTGAGAATTCTCAAAATCACTCAGCAAAATGGAAAAATGGGAGGTAGGAAGGGGAGAACGTAAGTGATTTTTGAGTCGACTCAAAAGGTGATTTTTTAATCACCTACGAGGTAGGAAGGGGGGAACGTAAGGCAAGGGCTGGTTGAGAGGGCTTGGGCGGGAGAATACCGGCACCAGGACTGGCAGATGGGAGAAGCGGAGAGTGGGGGGGGGAAGAGAGAAGACGAGAGTGCGTTGGGAGGCCGGTCGGGCTTGGGCGGGAGAATACCATGTAGCAGGACTAGAAGGGGGTGGGCAGTGTGTGGGTGGGGGGTTAATGGGACTCGAAGGGAGGTAGGAAGGTGGGAAGTGAGGGCTGAGAGGGCTGAGAGGGAGAATACTGCGCACCAGGACTAGAGATGCGAGAAGGGGAGAGCATGGGGAGAAGAGGGTGGAAGAGGGTGGAAGAGGGCGGAAGAGAGTGAGTAGGGAGGTCAGTTGGGGGGGTCGAAAGGGCTGCTTGAGCGGGAGAATACCACACAACAGGACTAGAGATGGAAGGAGAGAGGGAAGGAGGAAAAGGGGGGGTGTGGGCTGGTAGGGGGGTTGGTAACAGGAAAAGGTGTATTAGTCAAAGACATGCAAAATGGAGTGCGAAAGGTTTGGTTGAAGTGAGAAGAAGGCTGAATGGAGCGTCGACATGATTATGCTCAGCTGTTCATTCCCTTTCTGACGTCTATGTGCAAGGGGCCAGTTTTGAGGCGCCTCAAACGAGACTCTATTCACGCTGTAGTCTGCCTGCAAGGGAACGATCAGCTTGGACTACAGCACGTGCTTAGACTAAGCTTAGACTAACTTACCCCTATTGCTGTCCTTGTCCTTTTTCTTCTTCTTGTGAGCCTGTTACGCCATGCCACCCATGCCACAGAACGCAAAAAAGGGGAGGCAACGGAAGAAGAGGAATCGTAAGCCTAGAAAGGGAGAGGAAAGATCAACAGGGCCCTTCCCTGTTGCCGCCCTTGCCCTTTTCTGCTTCTTGTGAGCCTGTGACGCCATATCACCCATGCCACATAACACCAAAAGAGAAGGCGATGGAAGAATCGTAAGCCTGGAGAGGGAGAGGCAAGATCAACAGGGCCATCCCTCCCCTGTTGCAGTCCTTGCCCTTTTTCCTCTTCTTGTGAGCCATGCCACAACAACGTAGAAGAGAGGGCATAAGGACATGCTACAATGTCACAGAGTTGAAGAGGCAACGACACAATGGTATTATTAGACATTTTGCAAAAAAAGAAGAGCACAACAATAGAGTTGAGGGCGGAGAGGGGAAGGCACGTATTGGAGGGTGACGCAACGCAGGAGACATTCGACCTGGGAAAAAGCGGGCAAGGAAGGGAGAAGTGGAGAAGGTGTCAGTTCCACGTGGCAAGGCTGCTGTGCATCCCAGTGCGAGCATAAGGGCTTCAGCAGGCAGCAGTTACAGCCTATCGCGACGGGCAGAGCAGCAGCACGGGTAGCTGCAAGAGGAGCAGCAACCGCCCCAGAAGCAATGGCAGCTCCAACAGCCACAGCGGCAGTCCCGGCCGCAGCAGTAGCTGGAGGCAACGCAGCAAAAGCAACGCCGGCAGCACCTGCTGCGGCAGGGGCTGCCGCTGTGGCTGTTGGAGCTACCATTGCTTTTGGAGCTGTCATTGCTTCTAAAGGCAGCTGCTGCTCCTCTTGCTGCCGCCCCTGCAACTGCTCTCGCTGGGGCTGCTGCCCGTCGCACTAGGCTATGACTGCCGCCTGCTGAAGCCCTCATGCTCGCACTTGGACGCACAACAGCATTGTCACATGGAACTGGCACTACTGCCACATGGAACTGGCACCTTCTCCACCTCTACCTTCCTTGCCCACTTGTTCCCAGTTCGAATGGCTCCTCCTCCACCTTCCTCTGCCCTCTACACCACATCTAAGTTGACTCAAAAGCATCATGTATCACAGAAGGGTTGACGGGAGAAGGGAAGGCCAACTATTACACACAGCATCCAGCATACACATACTGCAAACTACAGAAGTACAGGCATTCGACCCTAGTTGCAAATACCTTGGCATTCGACCCTAGTCGCAAACACCTTGGCATTCGACCCTAGTCGCAAATACCTTGGCATTGGACCCTAGTCGCAAATTTCACACCGCATCTAGCATACACCTACTGCAAACTACATCCGTATAGGATGTACCTTGGCATTTGAACCCAGTCGCAAGTATGATATGATGTGGGTGACTCTGTCCAACACAGGGGCATCCAAAGACGCAGATACCAAGTCCTGTGGGGTGAGAGGGGAGAGATGGGAAAGAGGTGGGAATGAGCTGGGAATGAGATGAAAGAGGTCTAGGAGAGAGGAAAGAGGTCTAGGAGAGAGGAAAGATGGTGACTCAAGACACTCCACAAGACTCTATCTAACACAGGGCAGGCAAACACCAAGTCCTCACACAGTGCAATCAATACTTACTTGTGAGGAGGACTTGGTTCTTGCCCATATTCACCTGGGACGGCCGACAGTCAGTCAGTCATGCTGCGATGTACGGTGGTCGGAGGTGATTTTTGAGCCGACTCAAAAGTCATGCTGCGATGTACGGTGGTCGGAATCTTGTTGCGAAACTCATCGCCCATGTCGAACACAAAGGAAGTTCGGCTAGGAAGGAGGAGGAATCACACTACGTGTGCATGAATCTCAAACTCCTTCACCTGCGGAGGCGGGCAATCCGCCTTGCTGCGATGAACAATCGTGGAGATCTAGTTACAAAACTCGTCGCCCATGTCGAACACAAAGGGCGTGCGGCCCAGGAGGAAGAAGTACAACGTGCAATCAGTACTCATTCACCTGGGGAGGCGGGCAGTCAGCCTTGCTGCGGTGAACGGTCGTGGGATCTCGTTGCGGAACTCATCATCCATGTCAAACACAAAGGAGGTGCGGCCCGGTAGAAAGAACTCGTTGGGCTTCGGCGGCAGTGGGCGCACTATCTGCTCGAAGACCGACTGTTGGGGTGAAAAAGGGAGGAAACAGGGAGGGAGTTTTGAACTGCATCAAACAAAGCCACCACCATAGAGTCCGTAGGCTGTAGCCTGGTAACAAGAACTCGTTGGGCTTCGGTGGCGGCGGGCGCACTATCTGCTCAAATACAGGCTGCTGGGGCAAGACAAGGGAGACCAGAGGGAAGGGAACACGGGGAGTGCAGGTGATGCACAGGGGAGGGAACAAGGGGGTGCACAGAACAGAGTCAGTGAGTGCACAGTCTGCAGCCCGGGAGAAAGAACTCGTCGGGCTTCGGTGGCGTCGGGCGCACTATCTGCTCAAAGACCGACTGTTGGGGTGAGAGAGCAAGGGAGGAACCGGGGAGGGGGTTTTTGAACTGCATCAAACAAAGCGACCACCAGCGAGAGCATAGGCTGTGGCCTGGTAACAAAAACTCGTTGGCCTTTGGTGGCAGCGGGCGCACTATCTGCTCGAAGACGGACTGTTGGGGTGAGTGCAGGTGATGCACAGGGGAGGGAACAAGGGGGTGCACAGAATAGAGTCAGTGAGTGCACAGTCTGCAGCCCAGCAGGAAGAACTCATTAGGCTTCGGTGGCGGCGGGCGCACTATCAAAGACCGACTGTTGGGAGGAAAGGGAGGGAGAGAGGGAGGGGAGGGAGGGAGGGAGGGAGGGGAGGGAGGGGAGGGAGGGGGGGGGGGGGGAGGGAGGGAGGGAGGGAGGGAGGGAGGGGAGGGAGGGGAGGGAGGGAGAGGGAGGGGAGGGAGGGAGGGGAGGGAGGGGGGGAGGGAGGGAGGGGAGGGAGGGGAGGGAGGGGAGGGAAGGGGGAGGGAGGGAGGGAGGGAGGGGAGGGAGGGAGGGAGGGGAGGGAGGGAGGGAGGGAGGGGAGGGAGGAGGGGAGGGGAGGGGAGGGAGGGAGGGGAGGGAGGGAGGGAGGGAGGGGAGGGAGGGGAGGGAGGGGAGGGAGGGAGGGGAGGGAGGGGAGGGAGGGAGGGGAGGGAGGGGAGGGAGGGGAGGAGGGAGGGAGGGGAGGGAGGGAGGGAGGAGGGAGGAGGGAGGGAGGGAGGGAGAGGGAGGGAGGAGGAGGGAGGGGGGAGGGAGGAGGGAGGGAGGAGGGAGGGAGGAGGGAGAGGGAGGGAGAGGGAGGGAAGGGGGAGAGAGGGGAGGGAGGGGGAGGGAGGGAGGGGAGGGAGGGAGGGAGGGAGGGGAGGAGGGAGGGAGGGAGGAGGGAGGGGAGGGAGGGAGGGAGGGGAGGGGGAGGGAGGGAGGGAGGGAGGGAGGGAGGGAGGGGAGGGAGGGAGGGAGGGAGGGGAGGGGGAGGGGAGGGAGGGGAGGGAGGGAGGGGAGGGGAGGGAGGGGAGGGAGGGAGGGAGGGGGGGAGGGGGGGGGGAGGGAGGGAGGGGAGGGAGGGGAGGGAGGGAGGGAGGGAGGGAGGGAGGGGGAGGAGGGGGAGGGGAGGGAGGGAGGGAGGGAGGGAGGGGGGGGGAGGGGAGGAGGGAGGGAGGGAGGGAGAGAGGGAGGGAGGAGGGAGGGAGGGGAGGGAGGGGAGGGAGGGGAGGAAGGGGAGGGAGGGGAGGGAGGGGAGGGAGGGGGAGGGAGGAGGGGAGGAGGGGAGGGAGGGGAGGGAGGGGAGGGGGGGAGGAGGGAGGGAGGGGAGGAGGGAGGAAGGAGGGAGGGAGGGAGGGAGGGAGGAGGGAGGGAGGAGGGAGGGAAGGAGGGAAGGAGGGAGGGAGGAGGGGAGGGAGGGAGGGAGGGAGGGGAGGGGAGGGAGGGAGGGAGAGGGAGGAGGGGAGAGGGGAGGGAGGGGAGGAGGGAGGGAGGGGAGGGAGGGGAGGGAGGGAGGAGGGGAGGGAGGGGAGGGAGGGGAGGAGGGGAGGGAGGGGAGGGAGGGGAGGAGGGAGGGAGGGGAGGGAGGGAGGGGAGGGAGGGAGGGAGGGAGGGAGGGAGGGGAGGGGGGAGGGAGGGGGGGAGGAGGGAGGGAGGGAGGGAGGGGAGGGAGGGAGGGAGGGGAGGGAGGGAGGGGAGGGAGGGAGGGGAGGGAGGGAGGGAGGAGGGGAGGGAGGGGAGGGAGGGGAGGGAGGGAGGAGGGAGGGGAGGGAGGGAGGGGAGGGAGGGAGAGGAGGGAGGAGGGAGGGGAGGAGGGAGGGAGGGGAGGGAGGGGAGGAGGGGAGGGAGGAGGGAGGAGGAGAGAGGAGAGGGAGAGGGAGGGAGGAGGGAGGGAGGGAGGGAGGGAGGGAGGGAGGAGGGGAGGGAGGGGAGGGAGGGAGAGGGAGGAGGGGAGGGAGGGAGGGGAGAGGAGGGGAGGGGAGGGAGGGGAGGGAGGGGAGGGAGGGGAGGGAGGGGAGGGAGGGAGGGAGGGAGGAGGGAGGGAGGGGAGGAGGGGAGGGAGGGGAGGGAGGGGAGGGAGGGAGGGAGGGGAGGGAGGGAGGGAGGGGAGGGAGGGAGGGAGGGGAGGGAGGAGGAGGGAGAGGAGGGAGGAGGGGGGAGGAAGGGAGGGAGGGAGGGAGGAGGGAGGGAGGAGGAGGGAGGGAGGGAGGGAGGGAGGGAGGGGAGAGAGGGAGGGAGGGAGGGGAGGGAGGGAGGAGGGGAGGGAGGGGAGGGAGGGGAGGGAGGGAGGAGGAGGGGAGGGAGTGAGGGAGGGAGGGAGGGGAGGGAGGGAGGGAGGGAGGGAGGGGAGGAGGGAGGGAGGAGGGAGGGAGGAGGGAGGGGAGGGAGGGGAGGGAGGGGAGGAAGGGGAGGGAGGGAGGAGGGAGGGAGGGGAGGGAGGGAGGGAGGGGAGGAGGGGAGGGAGGGGAGGGAGGGGAGGAGGAGGGAGGAGGAGGGGAGGGAGGGGAGGAGGGAGGGAGGAGGGAGGGAGGAGGGAGGGAGGGGAGGGAGGGAGGGAGGGGGAGGGAGGGAGGGAGGGAGAGGAGGGAGGGAGGGAGGGAGGGAGGGAGGAAGGGAGGGAGGGAGGGAGGGAGGGGAGGGAGGGGAGAGGGAGGAGAGGGAGGAGGGAGGAGGAGGGAGGGAGGGAGGAAGGGGAGGGAGGGAGGGAGGGAGGGAGGGAGGGAGGGAGGGAGGGAGGGAGGGAGGGGAAGGGAGGGAGGGAGGGGAGGGGAGGGGAGGGAGGGAGGGGGAGGGAGGGGAGGGAGGGAGGGAGGGGAGGGAGGGGGAGGGAGGGGAGGGAGGGGAGGGAGGGGAGGAAGGGGAGGGAGGGAGGGAGAGGGAGGGAGGGGAGGGAGGAAGGGGAGGGAGGGGAGGGAGGGGAGGGAGGGGAGGGAGGGGAGGGAGGGGGGGAGGGAGGGGGAGGGAGGGGAGGGAGGGAGGGAGGGAGGAGGGAGGAGGGGAGGAGGGAGGGGAGGGAGGGGGAGGGAGGGAGGGAGGGAGGGAGGGAGGGAGGGAGGGAGGGAGGAGAGGGAGGGGAGGGAGGGAGGGGAGGGAAGGAGGGGAGGGAGGGAGGGAGGGGAAGGAGGGGAGGAGGGGAGGTGGGAGGAGGGGAGGAGGGGAGGAGGGGAGGAGGGAGGAGGGAGGATGGGAGGGAGGGGGGGGGGGAGGGAGGAGGGAGGGAGGGGAGGGAGTGAGGGGAGGGAGGGAGGGAGGGAGGGAGGAGGGAGGGAGGGAGGGAGGGAGGGGAGGGGAGAGGGAGGGAGGAGGGGAGGGAGGGAGGGGAGGGAAGGGAGGGAGGAGGGAGGGAGGGAGGGAGGGAGGGAGGGAGGGGAGGGAGGGAGGGGAGGGAGGGAGGGAGGGAGGGAGGAGGGGGAGGGAGGGGAGGGAGGGAGGGAGGGAGGGAGGGGAGGAGGGGAGGTGGGGAGGAGGGGAGGAGGGGAGGAGGGAGGAGGGGAGGATGGGAGGAGGGAGGGAGGGGGGAGGGAGGGAGGGAGGGAGGGAGGGAGGGAGGGAGGGAGGGAGGGAGGGAGGGAGGGAGGGAGGGAGGGAGGGAGTTAGAGAACAATGGAACGATGGTGGGAGGGCAGCAGACTGCCAGAATCAGTACAGGCCAGGCAAGACGTGGGGTAACAAGGGCAGAGGAATGGCACGGGCATGGGGGTGGCACGGGCATGGGGGTGGCACGGGCATGGGGGTGGCACGGGCATGGGGGTAACAAGGGCATGGGGGTCGCAAGGGCATGAACACTTACGCGCGCGAGGGCAGAGCGGAAGACTGGCATTTTCTCTTGTGCTTTTCTGCAACGCAAGAGGCAAGGAGGACGAGGAGGGAGGGAGGAGTGACTTGAGGCGGCTCAACATCAGAAGAACCATGCAACGAGCAATTTTTTAGAGTTCTTTTTTTTAGAGTTCTCAAAAAAGAATCCGCCCCAGACGCCTCTCCTTCATTTTCCATGCAACATCTCAAAAATCGCCTACAACTTGAGGCAGCTCAACATCAGAACCAACGAAACACCAGTTAAGTTAGGTGCCATGTTGTCAACGTGGCAGCAACTATGTAGTGACACCTGTGAAAGTTAGTTAATTTAACCAACTATCAAAAATCGCCTACAACTTGAGGCAGCTCAACATCAGAAGAACCATGCAACGAGCATCACGGAATGGGCATGCAGCCATGCCCATTCCAATCCAATGCCCACGCATGCACTATAACCTATGCCCATGCGCCCGTGCCCATCCCCATGCCCATCCCCATCCCCATGCCCGTGCCCATGCCCATGCCCATACCCATGCCCATATACCCATGCCCATGCTCATACCCATGCCCATACCCATGCCCATGCTCATACCCATGCCCATTCCCATACCCATGCCCATGCCCATGCCCATGCCCATGCCCATGCCCATGCCCATGCCCATGCCCATGCCCATGCCCATGCTCATGCCCATGCCCACGCCCCATGCCCATGCCCACGCCCCATGCCCATGCCCACGCCCCATGCCCATCCCCATGCGCAAGTCCACTCGGAGTCCCTAGAAGACTTCCACAAGCCTCACCTGCCCTTCGCCTTGCCAGCTGCAGCAGCTGCGGCACCAGCAGAAGCACTATGCCCCATTCCCCATGCCCCACGCCCCATGCCCATGCCTATGCCCATGCCTATGCCCATGCATAAGTCCATTTTTCGTCCCTACAAGACCGCCCAAAAAGCCTCACCCGCCCTTCGCCCTCCCAGCAGGGTTGGTTCTTTAGAATTCTAGAAGACTTCCACAAGCCTCACCTGCCCTTCGCCTTCCCAGCTGCAGCAGCTGCGGCAGCGGAGGCAGCACCAGCGTCCTCCTCGTCCTCCGCTCCCCCCTCCTCACCCCCCTCCTCGCCCTCGCCCCCTCCCTTCGCCCCCCCGCGCCCCCCGGCCCTTCATTTCCGAGCGCACTTTGTTGAGCAAAGCATAGTCCAGCCCCTTCACCAGATGCGTGTGCTCCACGTCTCCTCCCAAAAACTTGGATTTTTCTATGGCTAGCTTGTGGGCGTCAGTGGTTCTGTGAGGGGGGGTGGGGGCAGGAGGGGACGGGAAGGAAGCGTGGAAAGAGAGGGTGAGAGGAGAATTGGAGAACAAAAATGAAATCATCCCCCCCCCCGCACCCCCCCGGCCCTTCATTTCCGAGCGCACTTTGTTGAGCAGGGCATTGTCCAGCCCCTTCACCAGAAGCGTGTGCTCCACATCTCCTCCCAGGAACTCAGACTTTTCGATCGCTAATTTATGCGCGTCAGTGGTACTGTGACGGAGGGAGGGGGAAGGGAGAGGGGAGAGAGTGGGGAGGGTGGGGGGAGAAAAAGGGGAGTAGTGACTTCCCCCACAGAATCTTCAAAACCATGCGCCTGGCAACCTTTCACCTCCCCTCCTCCAGCGCCCCCCCGGCCCTTCATTTCCGAGCGCACTTTGTTGAGCAGGGCATAGTCCAGCCCCTTCACCAGATGCGTGTGCACGGGGGGTTAGAATTGAGTGAGAGGTATATACATCTCAAGTTGAAGCAGGAGCCCCTTCACCAGATGCGTGTGCTCCACTCCACGTCTCCTCCCAAAACTTGGACTTCTCAATCGCTAGCTTGTGAGCATCAGTGGTACTGCAAGCACGGTGTTTTAGCGTTGAGAGGTATATATATCGCAGGCTTGAAGCGGGAGCCCCTTCACCAGATGCGTGTGCTCCACTCCACGTCTCCTCCCAAAACTTGGACTTCTCAATCGCTAGCTTGTGAGCATCAGTGGTACTGCAAGCACGGTGTTTTAGCGTTGAGAGGTATATATATCGCAGGCTTGAAGCGGAGCCCCTTCACCAGATGCGTGTGCTCCACTCCACGTCTCCTCCCAAAACTTGGACTTCTCAATCGCTAGCTTGTGAGCATCAGTGGTACTGCAAGCACGGGTTTTAGCGTGAGAAGTATATATATCGCAGGCTTGAAGCGGGAGCCCCTTCACCAGGTGCATGTGCGCCACTCCACGTCTCCTCCCAGACACTTGGACTTCTCAATCGCTAGCTTGTAAGCATCAGTGGTGGTGCTGCATGGGAGGTTTGAGGGTTGGGTTCAGGATTTAAAACCAGCGGTGAAGGAAGAGCCCCTTCACGAGATGCGTGAGCTAGCTAGTGAGCGTCGGTCGGTGGTGCTGTGAGGGAGGACGGAAGGGGAGAGGGTGGAGAGGAGAGGGGAAGGAAGATGAGAATCTCAAGAGGAGCTATTGTATCCAAGAATCGCGAATGGGTGTGGATTCGCAAGCCACCTGTGCGCTCCCTGGTGGTTACTCTGTTACCCTCTGTCATTATGTTACATTGTCACGATTTATCGCCGTGCACTGCTGCCTCCTGTTACCTCATCTCATCACACGCGTTAAGTCAACCCCAGCCGCATCAATGGCATTCAACTGACCCAGGGGAGACCCAGGGGACTTGGCACAGCCGATTCCTTCCTTGTAGTCCGTATTCACCTCCTCCCTCCTCTCCTACTGTTACCCTGTTACTCTAATGTAATGCTGCAGAATGTTACTCTGATACACTGTTGCAAGATAGTTTTGAGGCGCCTCAAACCTACTGTTACCCTGTTACTCTAATGTAATGCTGCAGAATGTTACTGTGATACACTGTTGCAAGATGTTACCCCACCACTCACGCTTTGAGACGCCTCAAAACTAAACAACACGTTTTGAGGCGCCTCAAAACTAATATAATGCAGCAAAATGTTACTCTGATACACTGTTGCAGTTTTGAGGCGCCTCAAAACCAGAATGTTACTCTGATATAACGTTGAAAGATGTTAGTTACCCCACCACTCACGTTAGGTTGACGCCAGGGGGAGCCACGGCATTCAGTTGCCCCAGGTGGCTTGGCACGGCCGATTCCTTGTAGTCCGGATTCACCTCCTCCCTCCTCTCCATCTGTTACCATGTTACTCTGACATAACGTTGCGAGATGTTAGTCACCCCACCACTCACGTTAGGTCGACGCCAGGGGGAGCCACGGCATTCAGTTGCCCCAGGTGGCTTGGCACGGCAGACTCCTTGTAATCCGGATTCACCTCCTCCCTCCTCTCCTTCGCCCTGTCCCTGTACTGCGGCTCCTCGCCCTCCTTACTGTCACCTCCCACAGAGGCGCCATCCTCCCTAATGAAGAACAGGCACAGGTGAGAGATAAGGGGGAGAGAGAAAGTGTGTGAGTGAGAGCGAGAGAGGAGAGCCTAATTTCCCCTGTCCCTGTACTGCGGCTCCTCGCCCTCCTTAGTGTCACCTCCCGCAGAGGCACCATCCTCCCTAGTGTGTGTGGGGGGGGAGGGGAGGGGGAGAGGAATGAGGTACAGAGGAAGGGGGTAGATGAGAAGGGCAGAAGAGAATAAAGGCAGAAGGGTTAAGGAAATGGAATAGAGGAGAATAGAGAGAGATGAGGTACGATCCCTGGCACTCACCCTGTACTGAGGCACAGAAAAAAAAAGGAAGAGAAATGTAGAAAAATATACACTAGACTTTTCAGAACTCTTATAAATTTTACACTACAACTTTTATACAGGATGTATCGCCTAGGGTTGACGTTTGCCAATGGCCGTACTTACCCTTCACCATAGTGCAGGGCTACTTACCCCTTACCATTATGCAGGGTAACTTACCCTTTTCCTTTGCCATAATACTTGCGCCTGGCATCGGACCCAGGAGTCGCACTGGGTCATTGAACCGCTTGCTGGCGGAAGAACGGGGGAAGGGGGAATATGGGGGGGGGGGGTGAGGGGAAAGGTTGGGGAGGGGAAGAGATGTTCAGATAGTTTTGCTGGTAGTAGAAGGGGAAGGGGGGCGGGGGAAGGGAGGAAGTGAGACAAACGGACTTGGGTGGGGAGGGGGAGGGGAGGAGGAAAGACTTGGGTGGAACAGGGGAAATACCCCCCCTTATTCTCTCTGACAAACGGACTAGGGTGGAACAGGGGAATTACCCCCCCCTTATTCTCTCTGACAAACTGTCACCTTACTTTTGAGTTCGAACAAGTATTTTACTACCTAATCAGCCTCCTTACTAGTAGCTTTCTTCTGGTGTTTCTTCTCCGACAGCTGGGACCCGCGTCTCGAAGTATCTTACCGACTGCTTTAAGACTGCTCTTATAAGGACCCTTATCGTTGACCTAATCAGGCTCCTTACTAATTGCTCTTCTCCCTCCTCTCAGCAATCACTTACAACTTGCTTCCCTCGAATCACTCACTATTTGTTCTTCTCCTGGTTTTTCTTCTCCGTCGGCTGCGACCCGCGCCTCGGAGTCTCCAGCACCATCCGGCGAAAGTCCTTATTGGACAGATTCGCCGCTTCCGCCGCCTTTCCCCCCGTGGATTCCGGAGCTCGCTCCTGCGATTTCTTTCCCGCCGGCCGCGGCGGCGGCGGAAGCGGGTTGGAGACAGGCCCCTCATCGTCGCTGTCCGCCATAGAGACTAACGAAGGCCGAGATCTCAAAGTGACTATGACAACGGGTTAGAAAACGGAGCAAGGAGCAAGGAAGTGGGCTAGTAGTCGCAAAAAAGGGCTTCAGAAAATCAACGAAGAGCTATGGAGCTTTGCTGGATGAACGCAGCCTAAACCGAGGATGACGGAAAGGTGAGGCACGGAACAACGAGTGAGCAGCAGCGAAGTTCGCGATTACCTCTGATTTGGCGGCTGCGAAACGAGTTCTGCGTCAATCTCTGGAACCTAAAGAAACTGGTGAATCGAGCAAGTTAGAACCTAGAGAAACTGTTCAATACGTCCATTAGAATGCATCCAACAAAACAGAAGGATTTACGCTTCTCAAAACTAGAAAATATTTGTACGGTATAAAGGATATGTCTAAATGTTCTTTTGGGGGAAAGATTATCGACGCTTAGAGACCTCTATAACTTGTACGGTCAGTGACACGATATAAAAAATCAGAATTAGCGATTTCGCAATATGTTTCATCAGTCGGGTTCCACGCAGGGCCCAAAATTGGTTTAGAGGCACCCTATAGAATTAGGGTACCGCTATAGAATTACCCTGCCTCCTAGGGTGGAATTTTCGGCACCCTTTGAAATTCAGGGTGAATTCATAAAAATAGTCCACACCATGTTGAGTCAGGGTACTAATGCCATCACCCTGTCCCTGCCAGCTTCTAAAATTTCAGCTTCTAACCGTATTAGCAAGCATACAAGCAGGATCACTAAAGCAAAGCATCAACAGCCTCTCCTACTTCAGTTACTTCCGCCAGCATTGCATCACTGCACAGATACCGCAACAGCGGCGGGGGCAGTTACAGCTAAAGTACTCATTCCTTCTACGGATGGAGCTGCTGCTGGAGCTGCTGAAGGGAAAGAAACACGGGGGAAAGCACATGGTGATGCGCAGGGGGAGTAGCGAGAATCTAACAGAGCAGAAGGAGACTAAGGGCATATTCGTGAGTTTAGACATCTCATTCCGCTCACGAATACGCCCTTACTGTTAAGATAAGAACTGAATGATTGACTAGAAGTGGAAACCTAGAACAAATACTAGTTGGTTGTACTAACTAGAAGCATACCTCAGTCTAGCCTATAACTTCTACACAGCTAATATGTATAAGTTGACACACCCCTTAGGCTAGACAAGGGGTGAAGCTAAGCAAGAAGCAAACAGCTCAAGGTGGCACTATTAGTCCAACCACTGAGGCAGGGGTCTGGAGACCAGTCAGCAAGAATACAAACAAAACTAAAGCAAGCCAGGTAGCACTACTAGTCCAACCACTGGAGCTAAGGCCACAAGGCCAGTCTGACAAGTATATATAAGAGAGAGTACACAATCCGGATCCTAACAGGTGAGTAGCTACAGGAACAAAACCAAGCTGTACACAGTGCCGCTGATGATCTTTAGGCGCAAGCGCCTTCGTAAAGATATCAGCCGTGTTGGCACCTGAGGCCAAGTGAACTACGCGCGCCTGGCGGCGCTGCTGTAGCTCGCGCAGGAGGAAGTACCGCAGCTGGATATGCTTCGCTCTGCCTCAAGCCGAGGCTCCTGACACAGGAGTCTCATGGCCCTGTTGTCAGCGTACAGGACCGGGGCAGAGCTAGGCCGCTCACCTAAGTCTGTGAGCAAGAAGGTCAGCCAGCGGAGCTCCTGTGCCGTCATGGCACCAGCGTAGATCTCAGCCTCACAGCTAGATTGAGCAACAGACGACGAGCGAGTGGATCTCCAAGAGATAGCACCCGAACCAAGGCTAAAACAGTAGCCCTGCGACGACCTGAGCGTCTCAGAGTCGTCTGCCCAAGAAGCGTCTGTGTGCCCGGTAAGACCACTGGCCTGCGTCCTCCTAGCACGAACCCATGCCCGATGTACTAGCAAGATAACGCAAAACCCTCTTAGCGGCAGACCAGTGCTGAGGTCGGTGTCTGCCTGTAGCCACAAAGCGAGCCAGGATGCTGAGAGGGTATGCGAGATCTGGGCGAGGAGCCTGACGCTGGCTCTCCAGGGGGGCGCTGAGAAGCCACTGGGTCCCAGGGGGAAGGTACCAGTGAAGCCCTGTGGTCGGCGCAGGTAAAGACCTGCTTGTGTAGGCTGCCCTGAAGAAAGGCAGTAGAGAAGTCGAGGGAGTGAAGCTCGTAGTCGCGCTGTGCTGCTACGTGTAGCAGCGCCCGAAGAGTGGTCATCTTCGGCGTCGGGGCGAAGGTCTGGAAGAAGTCAACCCCCTCTCGCTGACTGAAACCTCTGGCCATGTAGCGCGCCTTGAAGATAGGCGGCTCTCCAGGGGGGCGCTTCACCTTGAAGAGTCACCGACCATCGACTACGTTCACCCCAGGCGGGGGAACTGCGTCGACATAAGTGCCAGTGGACCTCCAAGATGCCATCTCTTACTCCATGGCAGCTATCCACTGAGAGGCCAAGGTCCCGAGGTGGCCTCAGCGTAGGTGCGAGGGGTCGGGATGTCGAAGGCGTCTGGGTCACCCTCAGGGACTAACAGCATGGAGCAGAGATGGGGAGCAGCCTCGGAAAGGAAAGCAAGCTCGTACTGCCTGTCCTCTAGGACGTCACTGCCAAGGGCATGTGCACCCCCTGACGGACGGAGGACGGGCAGGGTCAGAGACCAGAGCGGGTAGCGTAGTCAAGGCGGCGGGTAGAGGCAAATCAGCGACAGCAGCGACAAGCGCGTCAAGGCGCGAGACAGGAACAGCAGGGTCAGTAACAAGAGAGGCAAGGACCCAAGGGACAAGGGGACGAGCGGCACGGAGGTAGTCAGAGAACGGAGGAGGTGCAACAGCAAGGGACGAGGGAGGAGGGGATGGAAGGAGGGAGGACGAGACGAGCGGGGAACGGAGCAACATAGGGTGGGAGCACAGACAGGAGAGACGGGACGAGCACGGGAGGGACGGCGAGACCAAACGTGGGACGGAGGTGTTGGGTCAGGGGACAGTGGAGGGGACACAGGAGGGAACGAGGAGGAAGACGGGCCGGAGACGAGTCTGGCGGCAGGAACACAGGACCGTAGACAAGAAGGTCAGCAGGCGGTGGGGAGACACCGGCGAGCGGTCCGGGGAGGAAGACCGAGCAGGCGGAGAGCGGAGACGCGGCGACGGCTGCTGCGGCTGCTGCGACGGCTGGGCCAGAACTCTCGGACCGGCAGAGGAAGGACGACCGTCGGCGGAACCCTCAACAACAGCACCCCCAGAACCAACACCCCCAGAGCGAGAACCCCCTCCAACGCCGGCGGCACCCCCAGGAGCCGCACGACGAACACCCTCCTCCGCAGGGACGGGTGAGTGAGGGAGCGACACGAGCAAGCTGCAGCGACCTGGGAGGACGCACCAACCGGGGGGGAAGCGGTGTCGAGGGGTAAACAGACCAGACACCGGGTCCCGGGGGAACGTCGCAAGGGGGGGAACCTGAGACTGCCTCAGAACAGACAGCGAAGCGCTCGTGCCCGGGGAACGTGGTGGTGACGCCGAGGTCCTGGAGACAGCCGGCACCAACCAAGTTCCTCGAGAACGAGGGAACGTGGAGGCCTGTAAGGGAGCCCGAGGGAATTGCTGGACAGGGAAGGGACGTGGAGCTGCGAGCGACGACAGGACCCGCAGAGGGGTCAGCGAGAGAGACAACAGCAGGCGTAGCAAGCAGCGTGAGCGCGGAACGGGTCGCGGAAGAAGCAGGCAGAAGCACCTGATCGAGAGTGAAGGACAGCGAAGCTGTGGCGGAGGCCGGGAACGGAGCCGCTGCATAGACTAGGCTAGGCAAACTAGGCAGTCCTACGCCTGACGCAGCAGGGGAGGCTAAGCTACACAACGGTGCAACGCCTAAACTAGAGTACTCAGGGTAATAAGATCCAGCAACACTAGAAGCGTCAGAATACAAGGCATGCAAAGCAGCACCTATCTGATCCATGTCTGACTCAAAGATCAGCACGCCCTGGCGGAGCAGGTTGTGCCAGTCGGGGAGGTCCGGGCCGGGCCAAAGCGACGATGAAAGAGATCGTCGAGGCGGCGGAAACAGTGGGCGGTCGGGTGCGGCGGTCGGGTGCGAGCGGCGGCACAGAGTGCCGCGAAGAGGCCTGGTCTGAAGCTGGTACTAGCAGGTGACAGCACCGGAGCCGCCGGTAGATGCCAAGCTGCGCGGGCCGCCACCACGGCCACTACCTCCGGAGGTGCCGGGCCAGCCAGGCGGGAGACGATCCCACGGCTGCGGCGACTGCTGCTGGGACGGCGGCTACTTCTGGGGCTACTCCTGCTGCGGCTGGGGCTGCTGCTCTGCCCACCAGTGGTAGTCCCCGCAGCGGACTACCGTCACCACCACCTGCGCCACCACCCCTACCTCCCTGGACCACGGCCACCGCGGCGCGAGCGCTGCTGCGGGTGGACCGCAGCAGCCGTCTCGGTGAGAGGGGTCGCCGTGGCGACCGCAGTCGAAACGTCAGTGAACGTGCACTGGGAGGGGGCACAGCCGTGAAAGATAGAGGCTGCCGGCACACCGCTCGACTGAGCGATAGTGCGCTGACGAGTCTCGATCTCGGTGAGGGTGTCGACAAAGGCGGTGAGGGTGAGGTCACCCGGGTGCTGGCTAAGGAAGTGATCGCGAGCACTAGCGAGGCGGTCTGGCAGGCGCATGGCGATAAAATAGAGCGTCATGCAGAAAGGGGGGGGAGCGCAGTGAGCTGGGCAGCACTGCTGGCAGTGCGATAGCGGGTCTCTAGGGCACGCAGGTGAGTGGCAAAGTCTGCGACGGTAGGGAAGGCTGTAAGGTCTGGGAACAGCATCGGGAAGAGCAAGCGGCCAGCAGAAGCAGACGCGGGTGTGGAATAGCGAGCAATAACGGCGTCTAAGTAAGCTGTGGCCGTCTGAATAGTAGCGCTCAGACACAGGGAGGGCGTGGCTAATAGCAACTGAGCTACTGCATTGCGGATCCCAGACCGCACAGGCAAGCGCAGCAGTAGAGAAGGCCTCACGGTCATCAGAGGAGGGATCAGCAGGGAGGGTAGCAGAGGCAGGGGGGCGGGGGAGCAAGCCATCGACATGGACAACCAAAAGTGGCCATCCTGGCGCTGACCTGTAAGGTGGCGGCGGAGATCGGAGAGCCAGGCGGCGAAGTCAACCGCATGGCCCTCGGCGTCCAGTCGGAGCACGAAGTCAGCCATCGTGCAGGGTCAGCGCACAGCTCCACAGGAACACAGCGACG